ATAATATCAGTGCTGCTCTGATAATAGACTTAATCCTAAATTTGTAGATTTGTCATGATATAACTGCCTAATCTATAAGATCTTACGTAGAAGTCACGCCATGGACTACGCCAACTCACTGTATCGTATCAATTACCAATACATGATGTAGAACAAAGTTAAGCTAGAGAAAGAACAATGTATTTAATGTGAATAGAAGATATAAGATAACATTCAGCAGGAACCACGCCTGCATGACCAAGCCATGCCATTCGATCAATTCTAATTCATTCAATTAACTGTTCACGCCTTTTCCATCGTTAGGTATTTCTCCGCGTTAAATATTGAATATCTATTTTCTGAGTAGTCTTGTGTTCAGCTTTGAAGACTGTGTGGTTATGGTCAAAGGCCACTACATATCAAAGCCGACGAAACGTCTTCACCAGTATCAAAACAAGAATCTAAGCAGTATGTGTCATACTGGCATTAAGCATAGCGAATAGAAGAAGGTATGAGCAATTATTAAACGATGGTGTTCAAAATCGAATACAATCGGACACAGCAACAGATAGCACGTTAACATTTAAGCGAACATGAAATTTAATCTGGCTGTCCACAAGTATTGCCAACTAAACACAGAGCTCAGAGTGCCTCCTGAGACATGTTAAGGCTTTTTGGGGTGACAAAATACTTTGTTGAATTCCGAACAAGCTACCCCACAGGAACCTGTTCTTCGACGAACAGACATGATGTGGACCTTAATGTTATAGATTAGACAGCACACTAACCTATGTTATATTCCGTTGAGCAAAATATGTACGATGTAAAGTTTAAACAGTCCCATAGATGTTCCCAAAGTTCGTGTAACAAAGAGAGCCATAATCACAGAAGACCTTTTGAGGAAGCATACAAAATCGTTCCTGAACAAGTTAGGATGCTGCACAATCTGGAAGGAAAAATCATACTTAAGAAAAGATGCGATATCTGTTTTTCGCCCTAAACGTCAGAGATGACGAAGTTGACAAAGAATTGAACCAATTAGAGAAGTTCAATGTTATCCAACCTAGTAATTATTCGGCATGGAAAGCAGAAACCGAATAGGACTGTTGGTCTTTTTGCAGATTTTTCAACAGGATCAAATAATGCTTTGCAAAATCATGCATATCCACTACCTTTGGCGGAGGATTTATCTGTTAGATTAAACGGTGGACGTCATCTAGCTGAAATTGATTTGTCTGAAACCTACTGACATTTGGAAGTCGAAAGAGAGTCAAAGGAGTTCATAGCCATTCTTACCCACCGTGGACCCTATCAATATAACCGACTGCCGTTTGGCGTAAAGACAGCTCCAGAAATTTTTCAGCGGATAATGGATACTGTTATTTCTAACCCTGAAGGCGTAGCAGTTTTTTGGACGACGTTATAGTTGTTACTTCTGCTCAGGAACTAATGGTTGATTAGACGTTGTGCTTACTAAAATATAGCAAGCTCGTTTTCATCTACAAAAAACGTCCAAATACCTTCTCGAGTCCATTAGATACCCAAGATATATATTTGATTAGGATGATCGTCGACCAGATCCAGATAATATAACTACTATCACAAATATGCCCAGACAGACTGGTATTACAACGCTGCATTTGCTTTGGGTGACGATTAAGTGCTATAGTATGTTTATATCCTGCATGTATAGAGTGAGAAATTTGTCAAGCCAACTTATGATGGCTAATGCGTCATGGCACTGGACAAAGTAATGTCAAAATTCGTTTAGTGAAATAAAAGGGATTTTATCTTTTAAACTATTGCTGACTCATTACAATCCTGAGCTTGAACTAATTTTGACCGCTGATGCTTCCAACTATGGAATTGGAGCTGTTATCAGTCATAGTTCTGCTGATGGTAAATAAAAGCCAATCACTCATGTATTCCGAAATCTCAACCCAGCTGAACAAAAGTACAGTCAAATTTTAAAAAATGGTTAGCTTTAGTTTTTGCGGTAAATAAATTTCATGAAATGGTTTATGGTCGTCGATTTACTCCTCTAACGGATCACAAGCCGCTCATATCTATATTAGGATCGAAGTCGGGTATTCTGGCATATACGGCAGGTTAACTACAACACTGGGCATTAACATTACTTGCTTATGACATCCAAATCTTATATAAATCAACAAAAATGTTTGGACTAGCTGGTGCTTTATCTCGACTAATTACGAATCAGAAGCAGGGAAGTGAAGATGCTATTATTTCAACGCTATGATTGGAGGAGGATATTAACTAGATAATAAAAGTTGACATAAACGAAACACCACTATCCTCTGGAGACCTTTAAGTACTGTACATAAATTGACGACGAGCTGAACGGATTGTTAATTACACATATCATAGTTTGTCCGCTCAAATATACAACAAATACTTGAGCAGTATGCTCACTGACGGGAACTTCGATCGCCTAGGAGTGAATGCCTGATGTTTGGAGATCGGATGGTTATGTCCAAGATCTTAGAACTTCATGCTGCATACTCAGGGGTAGCACTGATTAAAAAACTTGCACTAAGCTATGTCTACTGGTCGAATATTGATTATCACCTCGAAGAGTATGCCGTGAGATATTCTGCATGTGCGAAATCTACTAGTGCCCCTCGATAAACAGAAATTCAGAGTTGGGCAGAAACGACAAGGTCATGGTCAAAAGTGTGCATGAATTTTGCCGGTCACATAAATAGGAAACAGATCTTGGTAACTGTTGATTCTTTCTCCAAGTGGCCAGAAGTTCATTACATGAAGCTTGTGTCGACAAAACTACTGTGGAAAAATCGAGATAGGTATTCAGCTGATTCGGTGTCCCGATGTATTGACTCTGGATAATGAACCTCAACTTACCTCAGTGGAATTTTAAAAGTTTTGCTTCGACAATGTTAGTCTGATGGGTTAGTCAAGAGGTTTGCGGACACTTTACAAGAACAGCACTTAAAACCATGGGAGGGGAAATAAGTGCTGTCATTCGAAGATGTTTACTAAACTACCGCGCAGCGTCAAACCCATCAACAAACCATCATGAAAACCAGGCAGAAGCGATATTTTGAGGGAAAATTAGAGTACCAATATAACAGATGAAACAAAGATCTAGAATCAACCTTTGCATTGAGCGGTATGGCGCATTGCCCAGAAAGTTCAGTGTGCGGTAAACGTTAGTAGAAAGAGTGATGTATCCCAAGACACCATCTTGGGTCCCCCACTTTTCCCTCCCTACTTCAGTGAATGACCGCCATTGCTTAGGTCGTTGACGTTATTGTTTGCGGATGGTGTCGAGATCTGGAGACCAATAAGAACTGAGGCTGATCATTCTGATCTCCAAGCTAACCTAGACTAATTGATTATATGGGTTCGAGGTTGGGGCTTAGAAGTTATTTCAGTGAGCTCATGCATATCGGAAACGGTAATAGTTAGCAAAATATTATTGATGGTACGTCACTTCTATTCGTTCAGGAACATAAATACTTAGGAGTGATAATAAGACATGAATTGAAAACAACTACGTATCGCAACGCAGCTGTTGCTAAAAGGTTTCATGCACCATGGCCTTATTACCGAACATCCAAATGCTTTGACGAGATGTTTAGAATTTTATATACCACATATGTACGACCACACTCAGTGTAATGTATCCAAAGAACTGGCTCATGTCTAATTGAGGATACAAACTCACTTGGGAGTGTTCAGAGTGTGGGACACAAAATTAGTGAATGGTGTTTATGTACTCCCTTACGCTGAGCGCCTAGAACGCCTAAACCTTTTCCCTTCATCGTATAGTAAAACGCGAGGTGACCTTATATTGGAACTTGATATCTTTAATTATGATTAGAATGTTAGTATGTCTCATCTTTTCGCTCCTTCCAGCACCAATAATTTCCGAGGTTATAGCAAGAAGGTTCACAAACTACGATCCACTAAACTTAAAGTGGGGTTCCGTTTTTCTCATCGAGCGGTCAATGACTGGAACGCCTTACATGAACAAGTGGTTGCAGTACCATCGGTGAACATTTTCTAGGAGTAGCTGGACACTAATTGGAAGGCAAACTGTTATGTTTGACACAGGCACACAAACCTAAGATCCTCATTACTGAAGACTGAAGTAAAGCTACCCGGAAGATTGGAACATTTTTCAGTGGAAAATAAAAGGTCATTTACAAATTAGAAGTTCGAGAAAATATATGGCTGCGTAATGCAAACCAACTACGGCCAATCAGACAAAAATCGGAGACTGGAGGTGGTATAAGGCCGGATCTACTATTGAACATATCCACTTTATTGTTCAGTAGTCTACCTTTCCATTTAGAAAAGGTTCAGCTTGATCTATGATTTGACAGGTTTTCAGTGCAACAACAGGTTTCATCTTTATTTATTCCTCCGTTTGGCTAAATTCTACAGACAGTATCGTAATAATGCTACCAGCCTTAGTAACTCGACTTTGAGTTCACTTTGTCTTAATGTCGGGTCATTGGGAATCATCAGCAGGGCTTTTTACCACCATTTACATGACATGTATTCATAATTTCGACACGAGAGTGATTAGTACTTTAAACTAGCACCCCTATGAGGTTGATTAAATAACCTACACAAAGGCCCATCAACGAGTACATAAAAATGCGTCGAGAATTTGATATATTAGATCTTGAACTATTTTAATTTTATTTATTCTTTATTTACATTCATATGTGAATTAATTTTGATTAATCAATAGGACACACGTGAATAATTCACTGAAAGTCTGTTAAGTTGCATGTAGAATCATTAAGGATCATCCAGGGACACTTTCTTTTACGTTTAGAGGGAAAGGGTCCACGGCATACAATAATTCCACAGTTCCAAATTCAACACCGGCTTTGTGTAAGTTAATATGAATTAAATAATTATATCCTATTCAATGATAAACATTTAGCAGTTTTTGTTACTTTTAATGACCAATCTCATTGCTAACCAGCTTTTTTGCTTGTTTTAAATCATCAGAAACAAAATATATGTCCTAGCATCGATTACAGCGGAATAACTTGGTAGGTGACTAGGTCATTAATTTGCTAGTTTGTTTTCTTTTTTAGATAGAATAAGTAAGCTTCATTAAGCATAGTCAGACTTTGCACCCTTTCTCCCACGGGTTTCTATTCTAGGTATGCATAAATCGTGAATTTTGATATCATCAACGCCCAAAAAGGCCTATCTACTCATGGTTTTACTGGAAGTCTGCGTATTCTACGTTTGTTAGTAGAATTATTTGTCCTCAAATCTAGCACCCATAGTTGTTTTCAGTAAGCTAGGAGCTTTTTGTGATTTTCATCGGACCTCTAGGGCTAGCCGTATACAGATATTGGACCCACCTTCCACTCTCAAAGTTATTAGTCTAAGAGGTCGTTGAATTATGGACCATGAAGAAGAAAGGTACAAAATTTAAATGTAAATACGGTGAAACCATTATTTATGGACGAACTATTCATGTATAGGACAACAGGTCTCCGATATTGGCGCGAAATTCACTTATCCATTTGGATGAATATAATTTTGTCATTATAGCTGATGTCAGTTCGTGATGGAAACCCTAAATCTAATTTTTAACCTTAGCCATCAACTAAATCATGATTCTCACACTCCAAACTGATTTATAGACTTCATTTGGCCCTAGTAAGTAGGTAGTCACTCTCAAGGTCATTTTACCATCTCTCAAAGGTCGTCCATGAATTAGTCTCACCGACTTACAAATAGAGTGATATCACTCTGTTTTGCCTCAATAACACGCAGATTTTAAGGGAGGTAACCTAAATCTAATTTTCAGAAAAGTTCCTCGGTAAGACCTAACATAAAATGCTTTTTTCGTTGCTCCATTTTGTACAAGTGAATATATACTAGGTTAGTAACGTATCGGTTAATCCCGTTCTCCATATTTCTGTTACATGTACCTATATCAGTAATAGATTTTGATCTGAGGCACTTGTATAATACAGAAACTGTAGATATGTGCCTATTGGCTTCCTGTTTCTTCAGTTTTTCATAAATGGATTGTAGTCAAGATAATCCAAATTTATTATTTATGTTGTCTCAGTAACTTTCAGTTAAAAGCTGTGAATATATCTGCTATCACATTGATTGTCTCCGTGCCTTCAGCTTCTGCACTTAAGCATACCGCAACATATCACGGATCAACGTTTTTCAATATTTTTCACCAACACCCAAGCTCGAGCACTATTATGTACTATAACCTGGTTTTAAATGGTTTTTCAACTTAGATTGGCTTGTGATCTTAATAAAGCTTCAACCAGTAGCAATATTGTATACCGGAATCCCACCAAATTCATTGACGATGTGGTTTTGATTCATCTATAGTCTGTACAAAATACCGTGCAACTTATTTTGTCCCAGAACATAATTTAAGTAGGTTAATATTATCATGTGCTCTTCTGATATCAAAGTGACATATAGGCGTTATATTCAAAACTGTCATTCACTAATGAGTATTAGCAAAAGGTAACCTGTTTCCTACTGATACATAGTTTCAAAGAGGCTTCAAACTTCAAAAAATCATCCTAGTATAAGACGTCTATGATTTTTTCAAAAACTTGTCTTTTATCAGCTTGTAAAATTTCAATCAACTCACCTAAAATCCAGTATAATGAAGAGTTATCATCTATGAGCTTATGCATTATTGTGAATGAGTGTAGGCTTGGTAATTGAAGAATTTGAAGTTTAACTAATAGCTTGATTTTTCGTCCATAATTTGTAATCTCATCGGTATTCTTAAACCAGATCATATTCATAGATTGCAAAAATTACATTCTTTATCATCTCACAGTACACTTGTCAAACCTTTAAATATAATCTCAATAAACTATGTAATGATTATTGGTTGTAGGAGTGATATCACTCTAGTAGTTCATAGATTTTCAAAAACATGGGGGAAACTGAATTTCAGAAATAGGCCGCTTTTTCTTTTTAGTCCATCGTCAGATGTTTTTTTAAAAGCCAGAAACCGTAACTTTATTTGAACACAAATATTGGTACATGGGGGCATCGGATACATATGCTCCAAACAATAATAATGGGAATGGGAAAACATAACGTAAGGTGCGTACAAAAAAGGGGAACAATAACAAATATAAATTAGTTTATGATAGTGAAATAATAATAATAATAGGAGAAACAGTTCACTTAGCAAAGGTATGACCAGAAAGAATTACAACTAAAAACGTTACGCACATTTTTTATGAAGAAACTGAAATATAGTTACGACAGGATCTCCACTGGCTTTTATTCTGAGCCATATCTGACGAAGTCTCTAGCCACTGCGTTGCACCATCTCTAGGACCCCAACCAAGAAGTCGTAAAGGACCAGCACAAGCTAGTCCTTTGCAGCTTTCTTTCATACCACGACACCATGTAATACACTGACCACCTCTCCGCCTTTTCCAACCAGTCCCAGTGACGGTAAATAATGCACGACGTGGAATTCTCTAGAACGACATTCGTAGAACATGTCCAAGCCACCGAAGTCGATGTTTCAAGATGGTGACACCAATTGAATTATCTTCTCTGTGCCCGAACACACGATGCCAAACCTCTGCATTACTAACATGGTGTTTCCACTGGATGTCAGCAATCCTTCGGAGACAACGATGATCGAACACAGAAAGTCGTCTAACGTCCTCAACTCGGAGAGGCCAGGTTTCACAAGCATAGAGCAAAACTGCTCTCACCGACGCGTTGTAAATCCGACCTTTTACAGCCAGACTAACATCACTAAGGCGCCAAAGATGGCCCAGATTGGCATAGGCCGCTCTGGCTTTCACTATACGTGCATTGATCTCATCACTCACACCCGCACTAGCACTTATACAGCTACCTAGATACACGAACTTCTCGACTACTTCTATCTGCTCATCATCCAGGGTGAGTACAGGATTAGGATCCTGCCAGTTTTGTAGAAGTACTTTGCACTTCGAAGGTGCAAAGCACATACCATATCTACGGACACTGATTGCCAAATGATTAAGTGCGGATTGCATGCCTTAGGCATTATCGCACAGTAAGACAATATCATCCGCATACTCAAGGTCGAGAAGTCTTTCTCCAGGTGTTTGGCGGAGGGTAGAGATGTAATTAATACATCCTCAACCAGAACGAAACCCAGCCTGCTCCTCGCGAGTCAATCTTTCTCGGGTTTTGAACAACCTACGAAGTATGACGGAAGCCAATAGCTTGGACGCAATCGGAAGTAGACTTATCCCCCGATAGTTGTTACAGGAACAACGTGAACCCTTTTTGAAGATAGTGACAACTATCGACTCATTCCATGACGTTGGTACACTCTCTAGCTCCCACACCTTTGTAAACAACGTCGCCAGTTCCTTAGTCAGAATGTCACCACCATCTTTAAAAAGAGCCGGAGGTAAGTCATCTGGGCCAGAGGATTTGTAGCACTTCAAGAGTTGGAGTTCCTTGCGGACTTCCGCCTCATTTGGTGGATCAGTCGTCACCGGCCATGGAGCGTAGGACAGTCTGACCGATGCTGCCGGAACAGCAGGCCAGTTGAACTCCCCTTCGAAAAATTCTGCCCATCGTCCAATACGTCGATGGATGTTAGTGATTGGCGTTACGTCATCCTCACACATTGTTTCGCTCACACCAGATTTCTTGCTGCCAGTGGCTCGGATGAGTTGGAAGATCTTCCGGTAGTTACCAGATGCAGCTGCTGCTTCCAGTTCAATAGCACGCTCCGACCACCAGGCTTGTCGGTCCTTACGCAAGGGGGGCACCAAATACATATGCGCCACACAAATCTCATTCGATATGTGTGAGGGCTGTGATACTGCCCGGGTGCCCAAACCGAAACAGGTGGTTTTCTTAGGGGGCCATACCCCGAGCCTTCGACCTGAAGGTCTGATCCACAAGGCAGTGGAGCATCGTAAGGAGATGCAGTCCCATGGAAGCCGGTGACCAACAATTGGTTCATACGCCATTTGTTCCCGCAGGATACTGGAGCCCATGTGCACCATCAGTTTGGAATCCGGTTAAAGCGCCGGACATTCGCTCTTCGTCCTCATTTTTGTAAACAACACCCCCGCCACGAGAAGGCAGTGAGTAGGACTTCCTTGGCAGAAGCTATATACGCGTGGCCATGTGAGAGCATTTCGACAGGGAGAGCGGACTCACCCCACTCTCGGCCGTACCAGGGCATTTGGGGACTCGTACCAGGGCATTTGGGGGTCCTTACGCAAGCTTTGCCCAATTTCACTACGTAACAACCTTCGTTTTTGGTCAAACTCACGGTCACCCGGAGTAGACTGACGGACTTCAATGAGTTATAAGGAACCAGAAGAAACCCAGTGCTTAAAAGCGGGACGTTTCGCAAACCCACAACTGACTGTACCCGCCATTTTCATGGTGTCATGCAATCCGTTGGTGGCGGTTTCTTCGTTGTCCACTGAAAAGTAAGGTAAGATTGGCGCAGACTAAGGCATGGTCAGTGTGTGTCCCAACGTCATGGAATGAGTTGATAGTTGTCACTATCTTCAAAAAGGGTTCACGTCGTTCCTGCAACAACTATCGGGGGATAAGTCTACTTGTGATTGCGTCCATGCTATTGGCTTCCGTCATACTTCGTAGGTTGCTCAAAACCCGAGAAAGATTGACTCGCGAGGAGCAGGCTGGGTTTCGTTCTGGTCGAGGATGTATTGATCATATCTTCACCCTCCGCCAAATATTAGAACACCACCATACTTATCACAGGTCAACAATCGTAGTGTTTCTTGACATCAGGGCTGCCTTCGATTCGTTGGATAGGACTGTTCTCTGGGATTGTCTATTGAAGAAGGGTGTGCCTGAGAAGTTTATAAACATCCTAAAAGCCCTATATACAAACACCTCAGGCGGAGTGAGGGCACACAACCACCTTTCTCCATTGTTCTACTCGAGCAGTGGGGTTAGGCAGGGTTGCATAATCTCACCATTCCTCTTCAATTTTGCCATCGACGACATTCAGGAAACAGCTCTGATGGATGTAAGTAATGGCGGTGTGGATCTGTTACCTGGAGAAAGACTTCTCGACCTTGAGTATGCGGATGATATTGTCTTACTGTGCGATAATGCCTAAGGCATGCAATCCGCACTTAATCATTTGGCAATCAGTATCCGTAGATATGGTATGTGCTTTGCACCTTCGAAGTGCAAAGTACTTCTACAAAACTGGCAGGATCCTAATCCTGTACTCACCCTGGATGATGAGCAGATAGAAGTAGTCGAGAAGTTCGTGTATCTAGGTAGCTGTATAAGTGCTAGTGCGGGTGTGAGTGATGAGATCAATGCACGTATAGTGAAAGCCAGAGCGGCCTATGCCAATCTGGGCCATCTTTGGCGCCTTCGTGATGTTAGTCTGGCTGTAAAAGGTCGGATTTACAACGCGTCGGTGAGAGCAGTTTTGCTCTATGCTTGTGAAACCTGGCCTCTCCGAGTTGAGGACGTTAGACGACTTTCTGTGTTCGATCATCGTTGTCTCCGAAGGATTGCTGACATCCAGTGGAAACACCATGTTAGTAATGCAGAGGTTTGGCATCGTGTGTTCGGGCACAGAGAAGATAATTCAATTGGTGTCACCATCTTGAAACATCGACTTCGGTGGCTTGGACATGTTCTACGAATGTCGTTCTAGAGAATTCCACGTCGTGCATTATTTACCGTCACTGGGACTGGTTGGAAAAGGCGGAGAGGTGGTCAGTGTATTACATGGTGTCGTGGTATGAAAGAAAGCTGCAAAGGACTAGCTTGTGCTGGTCCTTTACGACTTCTTGGTTGGGGTCCTAGAGATGGTGCAACGCAGTGGCTAGAGACTTCGTCAGATATGGCTCAGAATAAAAGCCAGTGGAGATCCTGTCGTAACTATATTTCAGTTTCTTCATAAAAGGTGACCATAACTTCTTTAAATGAAAGAATTGTTTCTGGTTGTACCTTTCCGTTTCCCCCATTACTATTATTACATTACCTTACACTAATCTGTTCGTCATTTTTTTACTCTTCGAATCCTCATTGTTTTCTTTGGCGCATATGTTTTTGGTTCCATCTTGTTCCAATATTTATGTGTTCAAATAAGTAAATATATGGATGGGTTAATTGTATGATTTGTAGTTTTAAAAAGTTTGGAAATAAAGGGATTCTCCGAAAAGAAGGAATGAATTCTCTGAATTAAAATTATGAAGTAATGTTGAAACTTGAAATAGAGTAGAGAAAAAGATGAATACATCTGTATCACATGATCAATCGATTTTTCGTTTTCCCTGGGTACCATACTACATTCAGCATTTATCACTTAGTTGTCCTCACATGCTACCAATGCTTCGAAGATATCAGATGTCCTCTACTTTCCACAGCCGTTTTTTAGCCATAATTTGAAACAGAGCCAAATACTATGTAGTAGACGCGCTCCCTAATTAGCAAACAAACATTTTGTTTTGGAGAGCATCCCTCGCAAATTTCATGCAATTTTCCGGCACATTTTTTTAACGAAAATTCTAAGAAATCTGGTTGACAGAATCAAATCCTATCTTAACTTCGAAGGATACAACTGGTATTTCTGTGTTCGAGAATTCAACGAGGGTTGAATATTTGACTGGTACATTCACATCTAGTTCTGAAACTAGTTCGGTTTCTCTAAGTTTACTGTCCACAAACTATCTAAATTTCAGATGATTATTGAGGCTTATATTTTAAATACTATATTGGTCAGGCTGATTCATCCCTGGTTATCCCAAGAGACTTCTATTCCTTTTCTAAAAATTCTGAAATGATCAGCAATTGAGGTCAGTTAGATGAAATTACGTTTAGCTTCCAAACTCTAGAAAATACCTTGGTCATCCTAACCACCAAGATTTGACCAATCTCCTTAGAGACCTCCTAAGTTATTTCATCAGATCCTACTACTCTATCTCCTTCCTCATGCTAGATGTACTCTTTCTAACTTCACTAAGAGTGTGGGAGACATTTTTCGACCTCATACTCAGGTTGTTTGGTGAGGATGATTAGCTTGAGAGTAGCTGGAGGCTACTAAAGCTTACTTAAAGTGTTCCTGTCATATAGGATGACATAGGTTCGTGGTTCGTAGAAAGTATTACTAATAGCTGAGTTTTTAACACCTAGGTCTAAGGTTTCCAACCAACTGCTTCCAACTACCTAAAATCAAATACACAAGTATCTATGAAAATGTTAGTAAACTCCACGCCATTGTACTTAGTCAATTTTCGCATATGAGAAACTGCTAAATTCAATGATATAAGGTTTAAGTCATGAAATTATAAATGTTTTCAGAATATCTCGTGTGTATTATAGCATTCTAAAGCGTAAAGAGAACAAATCAAGTAGGTATGGTGAATAATCTTCGAATGGCGTGGCCGAGATATGTTGCATACTCCTGCTCACCGTCCTTCAAATAAAATTATCGTGGTCAAAGTTAAGCTTAGGATTTAGGAAGGTGCTGGTTGGTTAGTCAAGACAAAATCATTTAATAGTCCTTAATTAGTCTGGTATACGTAAATAGATATTTACTCTTTGATTGGTGTAAAATGAAGGGATTTTATTTAGTTTTAAAAGATTTTGTGATGTACTTGAAAACCTATTCCAAGGTAACCTTCATCCTCATTTTTTTACTCTACCGCTTAGCTCACGCCATTGTTGTTTCCACTTGCATTAATTAACTTTCTTTACTGTCACTGAAATTATCATCTTGTTTGCTGGGTTTTATTCTCCAGTTTAAGTTTTGCGTGATTCCTGTCTATCTTCTGATGCATTTATTTCTGTTTCAAACACAATCTTGGTCTTCTCAAAAACTGACTTAGTATCTTGGTTCAAACTTTGGGCTACCCGTTTTAGTTTAAGCAATCTATTGTCTATCGGTGTCGTTTCTCTTTAATAACCCATGCTTTCGCCTGAACTACATATGTCTGAAAGTAGTTAGCGGTGGGCGTCTTCCAACGAAAGCATGAGTATATTTCTCACCATTTCGTACTGTTCTACTTTACGGCTTATGAAACATGGCCTTACTAGATAAAGTTGGCAATTTGGTTGGTGAGGTAGTGAACCTTCATCGACAGGTGGTTGGGACATGTATTACGTATGCCAAACTAGCACTTAACTAAACGGGTGACGTCTGGTGTAAGAGTGTATTGGAAGAAAGCTAGGGACAGCCAAACCAAGACATGGAGCCACCTAATGAAATCATTGACGATTAGAATGATTCGTGTAAATAGTTGTAGACTGTCTAGCTAGGGTCTGCGCAATTATCGTAACTAAAGGTTAGAGGCGTTAAGTAACGTGGCTCAGGGCTGCTTTTTATGGCGTAGATGCATTCTCACTTTGTCTCCTACCAGATCCTGAGCTTTAAAGTTACCTTATATTTTCTTATTTCATGAATTTTATTTTCTTCCCGTTCATATTGTCTGTTTAAGCTTTTACAATACGGCTAATACTGTGATATGGGATTCGTATTAATAATTTCATCCTGCTGTATTAATGTGGCGTGACAGCCTGAACCAATCAAAGTATATTCCGGTTCCTATGTTGCTTATAATTCGCTTCGTAACTTTCGAAAGTATTCAGTATGTTTTATCGTGGAACATTCATGCGTGTTCATTTGGTAATGAATCTTTTGGGACATTCTATTAATTAAAATAAATTTCAAACTAATAAAACTCTTATTCATTCCAGTGTGTTGACTTGAACATATTCTAATGGCTGACTATCTGAAGTCTGCATTAAGCTATTTCGCCACCTCAAACACTACTAAAAATGAAAATGAATTTCTTGGCAGTAGTATATCTGTCGGACAACTAAGTTTAAAAGTTAAGAGAATCATTGCTGAAGGCGGCTATGGAATAGTTTATGAAGCTCAAGATGTCAATGAAAATACATCATATGCGTTAAAGGTATCTGTTTACTTTTATAATCACTTGTTTAGCGTATGCTCGCTCACGACAAACCTTCAGTGGATTTAATTCTTCATGAAGTTCGTTTACTGGTATGTATGCATAAAATTTTATTACCGTATTGATGAATCCCTTACCTTTAGAAACAGTTGAATGGACATCCAAACATCCTGAAGTTTTTTAGTGCAGCATCTGTTGGTAAAGAGAAAATGAAGGTTATTAGTACTGAGTTCTTAATAGTCACAGAGTTTTGTAAAGGTAAGTTCATATTTTCTCTCCTCATATTTGTTAAACACTTTTTATATTGTGTCCATATTTTTGTAGTCAATAGTTTCTGTGAAGTTTTTAGACCTATTGATTCTATTATTCATAAAGGTATTTAGTAGCTGCTGTTTTTTTGTTTTTTTGATTTTCTTGATTTGACTGTTTCACTCTATCGTTTATGCCACGACGATAGTCTGACATTCATGAACAATATAGGACCTGTCACAGATATGTATAGATAGATTTTATATCTTAACTATTCCTGTTATCCTGCGCAATTTTCCTATCATATCGAAAGTGATATAACAGCCTTAGTTATTTACGTGAAAGTGCTACTTTTCACTTTCGAAACATGTTTTTCAGTAACTGTATTAGTTTCTGGTAATCTGTGTAGGATCCACTAACATCAGTGAACTATTTTTCAGATTTTTCCTATATTACATAGTCAACAACGTAATAGCTGATATTAGTTTGTTTGCGATCAGTAAAGTCTATCAGAGATTTGTCAGCAGATGAAATTCTTAATGTTTAACTTTCACAGAAAGAGTGATTTTGGCCGAAAAAAACTGTTTGATTGGATTTAGATTAACCACTGTATTATGTTATAAAATTAGTTTTAGAAATAATGTATTCATTGAAATAGAATGCAGTGGATTTTTAGCATTCTAATGCATGATTATCCATCAGTTTCAATAACTGGATAATGAATACTTTTTTGGTAGTTTTTTTTTCACAGCTGTCTAAGTGTTATTTTCACGACTGAATCGTTTTTGTAAATCAAACTGAGTGTTTTGTGGATCTTATTAAATTCACCTATGATCATTTAAAATGAATAAAACAAGAGTTTTCTTTATGATGACACTAGTGAACATGTTGATTGGTAACACTTCGAAGATGAGAATTCTACTTCGTAAGCTTGGAGCAGCTGAATATGGAAAGTATTCGAACCTTATCTTGCCAAAAAAACCAACGAAATTTTTTTATTCGAATGTACAAAAATTAACAGAAATTTCTACTAATCAAACTTCTTAACTTAATTTGCAATATAAATGTCTTAAAACTGTTAAAAGATCTGAAGAGGATTTTGTTTCATACGCAGCATTTGTTAATAAACAATGCTAAAGTTTTAAGCTGCGTTCACTTCCTAACGAACAATTTGAGTGTCTTATCTTTGTATGCGGGTCACAATCATTGTCACACTAGAATTTTAAGAATCAAGTCAGATCTCAGTCTTACGTTTATAGATATCACAAATGAATGTCATCATATTATTAATCTTGAGAATGACACTAAAACGATCGAACGCCGAAATCTCAATTCATTTGGTTTGATGAAAATTCCTCATTCAGACCACATGGTTCGCGAAATTTTTCACGCCCGAATCAAACGTGTATTATCTATAACTCTAATTCATGTTGCTCTACAAGGACTCCCACTAGTTGTTGAAACTATGGGACATGGTGTTCTTCACGTTTCTGCCCGTTCAATGAACATAAATCCGCAAAATGTGGAGTAACTGTCCATAAAGAGGGATTTTGCAAACCCAGCAAACTGGACGTAATCCCATCTGACTGGTCTCAATCACTGATTGTGCCAGTTTTTAAGAAAGGACAAAAGTCCTCTTGTGACAATCACAGAGGAATCAGTTTGACTAATATAGTGTCTAAAATATTAGCTTCAATAATACTTCGACGCCTAACTAAAGCTCGTGAAGAGCAGACTAGAGAAAATCGGGCTGGATTTCGACCTGGACGTGGTTGTATAGACCAGATATTCACACTACGTCAGGTTCTAGAACACAGACACACGTTCAGACGCCCCACAATGGTAGTATTTCTCGATCTTAAGGTGGCATTCGACTCTGTTGATCGTAAGGTTCTATGGCAGTGTTTGTCACTGAAAGGAGTACCAAAGAGGTACATTAACCTTATACAGACTCTCTACTCGAACGCAACTGGTCGAGTGAGAGCTTATGGCGAACTGTCATCAGAATTGATTACCTCAAGTGGTGTTCGTCAGGGCTGTCCACTCTCCATTCTTGTTCAACTTTGTCATTGACGTACTTTTAGAGATAACACTTCCCTCATCTAAATTTCCAGGGGTTGAACTTCTACCGGGAAGTTCACTTGTTGACTTAGTATATGCTGATGACATAGTTTTATTCGGCGAAGACGCTGACTAAATGCAGAGTCTTCTGACCACTCTAAGCAACAATGCAAGCATGTTCGGGATGCAATTCTCCCCTTCGAAATGCAAAATGTTGCTTCAGGATTGGGTGGCATTGACACCCGAACTAATGATAGGGAGTGAAGTAATTGAGCGTGTCGATCGCTTCACTTATCTTGGAAGTCTCATCAGCCCTTGTGGTCTGGTGTGTGACGAAATCTCAGCACGGATACAGAAGGCTCGACTAGCTTTTACCAACTTGTGTTATTTTTGGCGTAGGCGTGATATCCGTCTATCAATCAAAGGACGTGTTTACCGCGCAGCAGTTCGTTCCGTCCTGCTTTATGGCAGTGAAACATGGCCGGTAAGAGTAGAGGATATTCGTAGGTTACAAGTATTTGATCATAGGTGTCTTCGAAATATTGCTCGTATATCCTGGGACCATCGAGTAAGTAATGCAGCTGTTAGGAAACGGGTACTAAGTAAGGATGGCAAATCAATCGATGACGTAGTGAAACTTCATCAGTTGAGATGGCTGGGACACGTGTTACGTATGCCCAACGACCGACTGCCTCGACGTGCGATGTTCAGTGGTATAGGAGTAGATTGGGAGGAAGCTAGGGGTGGCCAGACCAAAACATGGGACAAATCTATGAAGTCACTGACAAGTGGTCTGAGTCATGTTGGTAGGTGTAGACTACCTGGTTGGGGACCGCGAGATGATAGCAACCGATGGTTAGAGACCTTGAATGACATGGCTCAAAATCGTTTGCAGTGGCGCAGGTGCATCCACTCTTTGTGTTCTCCCAAATTCTAATCTTCTGAATTCTTCATGTCCCTTTTTTCCTTTTTCCAAATTTGTTTCACTGTATTATACTCTTTAAGTAACATCTCCAAACACTAATCTTTCCGATTACTGCTTATACTCTTATTACCTCTACCACTACGTGATTTGAATCGACTACTGCATTTCTGTGCTAATGTGGTGTGGCAACTCGAACTGATGTACCTACGTACAAAGTTCTACATTGTTACTGACTGACTGCAAACCTTTATCCCATTATCGAATGCCAAAAAGGATAAATTTTGTACATGCATTGTCGAAATCTAACCCCAAAAGCTTACCAAAGTATTTGTCCGATAATGTTAGTGATCGTATTATCACTTTGCAATTGGACACTGCATCCGATGTTACTTTGATTTCTCGCAAAAATTGGTACGAACTTTGCCAGCTATGTATCCATCCTACTAAAGATTGCATAAAGAACGCATCGGTCATCCTAATCAAAAATTTTGAAATTACCAAATGTACAGTCAGATTTAATCTAATAATCAAATCTAAATGTTATGTTACTGATGAATCCTTCAATCTGTTGGGTCTTGACTGGATCACAAAATTTAAAATGTTTGATTATCTTTAATCTAGATTCAGAAATGCTCGATCAGTCTTCTAATCCTATTTGCATCCAAGCATATTTCTATCGTCATATGATGCACAAATGGTGACAGACATTTTCTAGCGATTTTCAAAATGATCACAAAGAGAAGGATTGTCCGAGAAAATCACTAGAAATAACCCCAAATCGAGCCTCACCCACCGGCGTCTATCTTTCTGTATTAATGTTCGGAAGGAAGACTTCGAATTCATTTGATAACATTTATCCACAAAGAGAGAGATGAGATTATAAACCCAAGGCGAAGATAATTGAAAATCAGTTTCCTAATGGAAAATATATAAACTACATCTATGACAGACGATTAAATTCAGATAAAGAACCTCCTAGCTTGAGCCTGAAGCTAGCTTGTTTGATTGGTTTAGTCAGTTTAGAGCATCAGAATCAGCATGAAAGAAGTGATAGCCAGACCCCGAGAAAATCATCAAGAAAACGGCAGTTCTCTCTACGCCTTCAGTTACATCCAAGGAGTAAGATATTTTTGAAGAGGTTAAGGTGATATGGAGAACCAATCAGGAGTAGCATGTGGTCAATCGAAGACGATCAGAAGTGACCTAAAGGTCAAGTGCATTTTCTTCGGGTCAATGGGTCAATTTCCTAAGGATAGAGTGGTATAGATGAATGAGTGTTTGTACATTTCACTCTGTAGCCCAATACACTTTCTCGCTCATTCTTGAGTTCTCGCTCAAGTAGTCGTTTGGGGGGGTGTTCGCGTGTAGCACAGAGTCTATCAATATCTGCTTTCGGACACCACGCGTCACAACAATTATACTACATGAAGGTATTAGTGTGAAACCTTTGTAAATATTTTTTATCATGTTAATGAAGATTAGTAGAATAACGACTATAAGTGTGAAAGAACTGTAAAGTGGATGGATGTTTATGTTATTAACTGGGAATTCTAGGAGCAAAATTTTTATACATGGAGACACGATCTTAGAGAACGAATATTAATATCGAAGTTGCATAATAACCGTAAAATTCCTGATATGATAATAAAAGTAAGATAGGTGAAACTCAAGAATAGTGTTTTAATAAAATTAGTGATAAGGTTTCATAAATGTAATTGAATTAAGTAGTTTGTAAGAAATGAATGGGTTTTGATTTTCCCTCTTAGACAAATCGATCGGTGAAGCATTTTTATCTGTTTCGTTTCGTTAACTCACCATATAGAACTGTTGTTATTTTAATGCTGTCAGTGAATTATCCATTTTCAAATGTGACTTTTAAAGTTTCATAACTCACATTTCAACAGTGTTTTGAGAATCCATCTACAAGTTTACTCTTCTTGTTCTGCACTTAAATTATCCCGTCGATTACACTCCTTGAACGTTCATCTCTCTGACATTTCCCACTATTAACCTATGCTGTCTGTATATTAGGGCAGTCATTTGGTAGCACATTACTGTCCGTCCCCAATGCATATAAATATTACTTGTATTTTATTCATTCTGTGCGTTTTTTAATATAATTCCGAATGTATATCATTTCCTTTATTTTATATATTTATCTTTAGTTATAATACAGAGTACTATTTTTATTGTAGAAACATAAATATTAAAGCAAATTTTGTGGATGCTATAACCATACATTTTACACTGACCGCGTTGTTCATATTGCTTGTAAATCTTCAGGAAAAATTAAATCTCACACAACGTATAAAAGCAGTGGTTACTGAATCTTAAATGAAATATCATTACCTCTTTTCCAGGATACAAGAATTTCATATTTGAGCAGTTTAGCTAATTAATTTATTTCTTAAATGTAGGGGGTCAGTTGGATAAATATTTACCGGCATCAAAATGTGAAAATCCCCTGCCATCGAACGTTATCTTACAAATATTTCATCAATGTTGTCGTGGTGTACAACATATGCATAGTCAATGTCCACCTGTGATACATCGAGATTTGAAAATTGAAAATCTATTACTTACTGATAACTTTATCATAAAGTTATGCGATTTTGGTAGTGCAACTACAATTACATATAGTCCAGATCAATCATGGACTGCTTTGAAACGTGGAAGTGTTCAAGAAGAAGTGAGTGTTGCGCCATCAGCGAGTTTAATAATCAATTTTAAAAATTAACTCTATCTATTGTATCATTGTTGTTTTTGAACAACCATGAAATGATCAAATTATTTAACTTTTAAATTGAACTACAGCTTCAAAAGCTTGCTTCATTAAGCTTTATTTAGTGTATTATATATATATATATATATATATATATATACATATATATATATATATATATATATATATATATATGTATATATATGAAGATTTTGTGCAGTTTAAAATTTATCTCATCAAATCGGTTGGCGAATCACTGACAAGGTCTAAATTTAATTGTGTAAAAAAATTGATTCACGCTACAAACATGCGTTACTGAAATGGAAAGAGTATTTGTTCACAATGGCTAAATACTAAAATAGCAATGCAGTTCTGTTAAAACTAATATGTATTCAGCTACATGCACCCTAAACGTGCATAGTGTTTCTTTTAAAGGTTTGTTCATCTATTTCCCCTCTGTAATTTGCAATGTGTTGTAGTTTACATATTTAAAGTTTGGGCATTTCTGTATTCTACATTTGAGTAAGATATTTTGGGTTAATTATTTCACCTTAAATCGTTTACACAACCTCTTATCTAGACTTTAGAGTTTAAGCGCTAAATAAGTTCATCTCTGTTGTTTAGTTATGTATTTCTCAAAATCAGACATATTTAAGACATATGTTGTAGTCTAAATCCTATCTTCTTGAGAGTTCACTTTGACAATACAATATTTTTCCTATGTATATTAGTCCATGGATTTCTAAGTTCGTCAAATGAAGATATTATACAAAAGATTGTATTCTTATTTTATCAATCAAATTATTTATTTGTCATATCTACTTTCTTATAGTTGTACCTTTGTACTGAATGCTTACTAGTGTAATGAACGAGAACACCAATGGGGACAATCGAATACAAAATTATAGAGCACCTTAGTAAAATCTGAGAAAATTCTTCATTTGCGAAATATTAGTCAATTACCTCAAGCTTGACTGTTCCTTCTGCAAAATGTCGATCAATCGTCTGGGACTTCGTTGTTATTTCGTTTCCACACCAATCATTATTTGTTCTCGTTCTCTTTTCTTTGATCTTCGTAACCTTCTGCCTCCAGGCATTCCACTTTCGATTGATGATACATACTACTTACATCTGTCGACATCAGTAGCACACCCCTCACTAGTATTTATATCTGTTAAGTATCATGTTTTACTAATAGCAATAGGCACTGTTGAACCAATGATTGATCTTTGAATTGTGCATTGTCTTTTGACATTGATATTATCTTTCAGTTATAAATTATTTTGTGAATAGATTTTCAAAACATGTCATATTCTTTTCACCGTTCATTCAGTCTTTATCTAGTTCATGTGTATGTTTTGTAGTTCGTTCTTTCCGTCCTCACCATGTTTTTTTTACATCGTCTTAACTGCTATCTTAAGCTTGAACGTTTCACAACACCAATGTATCGGGCTCCAGAAATGCTTGATCTTTACCAAAATTATCTTATTGGTACTCCATCGGATATTTGGGTAAGTCATTTTTAAAAATAAAAATTCATTTAGCTGTAACCCATCTTTATACTAATTAAGCGGTATTGTTGTGTAATCTTAAGTGCCAATCGAAACTTATTGGTCAGATCGCTGTGTAACCTTCAATCTAAGTTGCTCAAAATCGTGTTAGGTTATGTTTCTAATCCTTATTCTTAGTGATCGTTTCTATTGTTTTACTTATTTAAATTTAATTCTAAATAAATATAGACGCTAAAATATACACTACAGTAAGTTTTATTAAGATTTGAAAAAATATGCAATAGTTTTCAAATCATTGTTCTCTTAACTGAAACGTTTCATCCATAAATCTTCCAACAAATATTAAGAGACATATCCTTTCGAATCTTAGACTACATGCTTTAGAAGCGGGCTTTTTCTAATTTTCTGGTTAAACCTTCTGTATCCAGCAAACCCGTTTTAGCACTAAACACACCGTTGTTTTTTCACTTTTCCAAGAAGTACTGCTTTGTCAGTTGAAACAGTTAGTACCAACCGTCTATTAGAGCGTTTAAACCCTTAACTATATGAAAGCATTTCGTAAAGAGCATCGCATATCTCAAGGTGTGAAGAATTCATATTAACTTTTTAGATAAATGTTTCTAAGAAGGTAAACCATGTCAAAATTCTTTACAGCCGATTAGAAGAATTCATAAGATTATGAATGTAAGCTTTTCCATAAATTACTTTGTCGACCATTTAAGTTAGTTTTTTCAGAATCTTGTGTAACCTCAAGTTCAAGATTAACTGTACAGAAACATTTTCTTATTTTTTTATGATTGAAATGATCTTGGAAGTAAATCGTATTGTTGTACTTCTCTCGTTTGATAATCGCAGTTGTAGATTCATAAGAGCCTGAAAACCAATTAGAAATAAAGTGTTGCAAGCGTTTATTGAACCAGACATACTAAAATTATTGTCTATAGGGTTGTTATGTTTGAAGAGATTACGAGATCATGTAAATCTGCGAACGGAACGAAGACTAAGCAACACAATGACCAACTAAACTAACTATTGCGATGCGTCCCAGCTCCGCTAACTAGAGGGAGAAGTCCAGGTTCAGAAGGGGGAAAGTGTATTCCATAAGCAGCCAGAGGCATGAATCACCACAAGCACAACTCTAGCGCGTATATACAGCATAAAAATATCCTTGGGAAAAGTCACAAAATAGTATATTAAAAGATAAAACGAACCAATGACATTTAGGGTCCTTCTAAATGGGAAATACAATCTGAAGGTAAAAATTGGCGCATTTGGCGCGGAAACCAGAGATTCAGATTTTCAAATTAAAATTACAAAAATAAGATGTTTACCAAATGAGTTCTGGGGATCTAGCATCCCCAACAAGGGTCGAACATAATAGCTTTAATAATCTTTTATCTATTTTATTCTGAATATAATGAATTCCGCTATTAGTTGCTATAACCTAATTTTACTTTGAAATTAATGATCCCATGTCCTCCCATCCGTCTATAAACGATTTAACCATCCCAATTATCTACTCATTTGTTTACTGTCTTCAGTCTTATTCCACTTCGATTATATTTTGTTGGTGTAAACATTTTGGACTTGTTAAGTTGATCACGGGATTACTCAATTTTTGTTAATAATACTAGAGTATTACTAGGAGTAGCGGTAATCTGGAATACATTTTTTTCCTATTCAGTTTTTCGTATGACTTTTACCCTTTTCTGATTGATTGGTACTACTTTTTGTTTGCTAATTTCGTGTACGGATGAAGGGTTATGGTTCTGTTTCAAAAAAATGTTTACTGTGTTGTACTATTCCATGTTGTTCGGCCTAAACATTAAGATTTTCCTTCACTTTCTCTTTTTCTTATGGTAGTGCCTAATTTTTAAAATATTATGTTCAGGTTCACGACAGGACCGCTTGTATTAGAATATCTCAGCTGTTCTTAAATCCGTTAGTATTGTAGATCAATCGAAAACCTCAATAAAGATAATCGTTCTTGTTAATATTCAATAGAACTTGATAGATTTGTGATGTCTGTTTACCTTTGTTTGACAATAAACTATAATAATAAACTGAAAAAAATGTGTAGATAATGCAGGACTTTTAGAAACCTTTTTTGATAACATTGTTCTAAATTATAAGCAAAGATGGATGGTGGCGAGCAGTGGAATCCAGGACGCGCGTCTCGTCCTATTTGGGACTGGTCAGCTGGACGTACCTGCATCTCAGAGTGGATGTTCACTCTGGGACTCGAACCCAGTACCGTTCGCTTCAAATGCCATCGCGTTATCCACTTACCTACTGAGTCTTGATCAATCGCAGTCCTAAACATCAATGGGAAGATCCAAGTAAAACAATACCAAGTGAATTAAACTTCACGCCATTTCACAAGCAATTAGCTATCAGGACTCAGTAGCTAAGTGAATAACACGATGGCGTTTGAAGCGAACGGTACTGGGTTCGAGTCCCAGAGTGAACATCCACTCTGAGATGCAGGCACATCCAGCTGACGAGTACCAAATAGCACGGGACACGCGTCCTGGATTCCACTGATAGCCACCATCCATCTTTGCTTATAATGCTTGTAAATTAAGGCAATATCGAGGCAATACGCACAGTATGCACATATGCCAATAAGAGACTAATCAATCGCAGTCCTAAACATCAATGGGAAGACTCAAGTAAAACAATACCAAGTGAATTGTAGTTCAAAATGTTATAAACTGTTAATTGACTCAGAATTATTCGGATAATTTTGATTGTGTTGATGTTCAAAACCTGTTTGTATTAGTATACATCTAGAATGTTGGGATTGAATTTAAAAGCACTATTTCTATACTCAATTCGTATTTTTAAGAAACTATATTTTATTTATCTAAAAAGTATCATTATTATCATTGTTTATTACAAATGGAACTACTCAATATTTTAATGTTTATTTTATCATTTTTTTAAGGCTTTAGGTTGTATATTATTTTATTTAACATGTACTTATCATCCATTTGAGGATTCATCGAAATTGGCTATTCTCAATGCTAATTATAGCATACCAGCATCAATAAGTTCAGAGAATGCACCATTTTGCAGTTTAATTCGTAAGTTTACCTCTTGTTTTAGTGTTATTTCGAAATAGATTTGCTTTCATTACACGTTAATTAAGTGTACTTCAAAGTAATATGTCACTAAGTTAGTAAACAATACTCGAGATTTTATCATCTTATTCTTGGATTCTGGTTAGAAATAGAATTCAGGAAACTAATCTTCATCCTATTTCAGGCTTATCTTTTAGACGTATCTGCTTCCAATTATTGGTTTTCACACTCAGTCTCCAATTCAGTATCTATGGTTTCTAGCGTCGAGTCCACCAAGCAGCCGAGTCTCGACATCCACTAACAATGTCCCAGTCTTTTTGCGAACGTCAACACAAATGCGGTTACATCCATCTGATAAGTTTCAAATGGACGAAAATGTACTCCCTGTATTCCACTGCCATTTACTATCGGAATATATATTAACTTGTAATTACAGGTGATTTATAGGCACTCATCTAGTATCCATGTTCCAACGTAGATTAACTAGAATCGTTCTGAATGAATACATTTCGTCACCCTATACGTTTTATACAATATTCCTAGCCACTTTCAAGTTCCCAGAAATCATCGAATCTTGAATCCTAAGAAACCAAAAGGGTGATATATATATAGTCGTATGTTCACCAATGACTAATTTTGAGAGGCGATTCTTGAAGTTCTAGAGAGAAGCTGTGCCCCAAATGCCCTGGTACAGCCGAGAGTGGGGAGAGTTCGCTCTCCCTCTCGAAATGCTCTCACACGGCCTCGCGTATATAGCCTCTGCCAGGGAAGTCCTACTCACTGCCTTCTCGTGGCGGGGGTGTTGTTTACGAAAATGAGAGGACGAAGAGCGAATGTCCGGCGCTTTGACCGGATCCCAAACCAATGGTGCACATGGGCTCCAGTATCCTGCGGGAACAAATGGCGTATGAACCAATTGTTGGTCACCGGCTTCCGTGGGACTGCATCTCCTTAAAATGCTCCACTGTCTTGTGGATCAGACCTTCGGGTCGAAGGCTCGGGGTGTGGCCCCCTAAGAAAACCACCTGTTTCGGTTTGGGCACCCGGGCAGTATCACAGCCCTCACACATATCGAATGAGATTTGTGTGACGCATATGTATTTGGTGTCTCTTTGTACCAATATCTATGTGTTGAAATAAATAAATAAATAAGAGAGAAGCTGTAAACACTAGAGTTCAATCTTGTTGAGTATGGGGCAGCTAACCCCTGATCACATCGTAAAATGGTTGCGCAAATCAGTTGGAGTTAAACATATAAACCACTAGATATCGGCTCAATGGTTTAAGGAGTGTGTTCGTTGTCATACCTGAATGTCATGGTCGTTGATGCGCACTTCTAAGGAGTGCCGCACTAGGACCCAATGGCTGTTAAGAACTTTCTAGTTTTGAGCGGTCGCTTGTGATGTTGACTTATATCAGTTGTTATTATCATAAGTAATCTAGTCAAACTAAATGTTACCCAATTTTTTCTTTTAGGACAATTACTTCTCATAAATCCATCTCAACGTCCTAACATAAATGAAATTCTTGGTGAGTTATCTGAATTAGCGTCTATGAGAGAAGTCCAAGTAAGTGGTTCTATTCCTCTGTTGGAAGAAGTCGCTAAAAGACGTAATGTAAACGTTACTACTAATCCTACGAGCCAGCCAATCAGTAAGTAATTGTTTAAATCAGACAATACAACTTCAAATTTCACCTAATAAGTTCCAAATTCTGGTAGTTAATTATATGATTTTGTCTAATCTGTTATTTTTCATTCTGTCAGACATAAATCAGCCGAAAATTAATAACTATTTGATTCAGTATCCTAACCAGTGACTAATATTCAGATTCCTATGTAGTCTTTTCTTTTCAATCATGACAATTTCTTATCATAAGTGCTCATAGAAGTCAAGTCATGGTGATAAAATATTAATTGTTTATTGGAAAGAACAATAAAACTGTCTTACTTGTACTTTGATTTAGCATTTCCGTAATTCTTAATTAATTAAGGTAAGTCAACATTCTAAGCTAGGTTAAGTTGCCAGGATGTTTATCAAGTTTGATAAATTGAGTGTCATGAAGTCAAGGTATTTAATATTGTTCCAGATACTTCTATTAAACTGAGTTTGACGATATGTCTTACTCACTTATATCGACATTGATATTTATCGTATGACTAGTCGCTGAAACAACTTTTATCTCAGTTCAATAAGCTTTTTAGATATTTGCTATAAAATTGAGTACACAAATGCTTACTTGGGAGTTAAGCTATATACTATCGTCTACCGTAAAGTATGCTCACAGAATAACCAAGTAAATCAATTTGTTTACAGCTGATTAATTACTCAATGGTGATATATTTATATTGTGCTGATCAAATCCTGTTGATCAAGTTAGTATGTAGGCACTAGTTCGAGGGAATTGACATCACATTGACTATGCTGAGATTGTAAGTAGTCAACAGGAGATCATCGACCTAGGTTTTCTTTAGTTGACACTCGCCAGCAAGGTGTTTCTGCAATTTTGAAGCTGACGTGGGTTCGAGTCCTATATAGTGTATAATTTACCTCAGGATTTCAGGTATACCTTACTAACATGTGCCAACTAGCATGAATGCTAGATCCAAGATTTTCCGGCGTTTACTACCAACCACTTGAAATATCACTTTATTTTCTAGTTACCTGTTGCTTTGTGTTTATTATTTATTAAAAGCATTTTTATCCCCATTAGCTTAGTAGAATTGTTTTATATAGGATAAGGCATTGCTTTTAGCAGACAGTGGAGCAGTGATTTAGTTATGATAAAATACACAGGTTTTAACCACTGAGTTTCCTGCACGCTCAAATCTTGTTTTGATTTGAGTAACAGGGTAGAATATGATTACCACTCTCACCTAAAATGTAGCTCAAAATAGAATACACAAGTTTGTAAATGATTATTAAATTATGGACAATGTAGTTAATGCCCTAACAAGTTCTTTAACTATAAATAACCATTGAAGGCATTCACAAGCCCATCATTTTGATGATTTGTAAGGATGTATTTTAATCAATACATTTTGCAGAATACTTTGAAATAAGTGTATTTCTTTTGACGAAAAAATGTAGTTAAATTATCCTCACCTTAAAATCAAATTTAAAAGACTTTAAAACATCGAAAATTTACTCATTCCTTTTACTTTATAGATCGTAATGATCCTAAAGTTAATGATTATCATCCGAGATCATTGCATTCAGAAAATAATGTTGTTACAAATCCACAATCGTCATCTAATAAACCATCTAGACCTAATCCTCCAACATTGCTCTCACAACAAAAATTAAATCCATTAGTTAGTTTTAATCCACCATCATCATTGTCATCATCATCAACAGTAGTCATAACAACTCAAGCACCTACGGTTAATCAAATTTCAAGTAATCAACAATTATCCAATCAATCTATGAGTAATATGCTTGGTATGATTAAAGGGGGCGCTGGCAATTTAATTCGTAATATACGAGATGCATCAACTAAAGTTATTGGGACTGTTTCTACGTGAGTACTATTTGTTGTTATCATTTTTCTTCATTTATGCTCAAATTACAACAATTTACATTTGTCTCAATAGTTGAAATCATGAGTCAATGAAAGCTAAACCACCATGGAAACCTGAGAGCACTGGACGGCTGTTTCATCCTAGTATGGGACTCCTCAGAAGTGCGCGTTTATGTCGATATAATATTAACAGGCAATAATTAAGTTTAATTGTTAGGTCCTCATTTCATTGGGATATGATGGGCGACATGCAATAAACTATCAAATCATTATTATTTTTGCATTTAATCATCTTAGTTAACTAATAAAATAAAATGTGTTGTCTTAGTCAGTTTTATTGTTTTCTGATATCAATTCATTTGGAAATCGTGCATCAATTATTCCATATTGTGTAAGGAATTATCAATTGATTATGTCGTATCATTGCATTGCCCATTATTTATCGATCAGTATTCTACTGATTTATTCGAATAGTTTTAAACTCTATTCATCATTATCATATAATAATTTCACAAGTTGAAATCATGAGTCAGTTGAAGCTAGATGACATATAATAATTGTCGTTTGTCTTTTTTTTTCATTTGGGGGAGGGGGCAGAGAAGCGAAAATATTACTTTCTTATCAGTTATTATTATTAAGTCACAAGTTACATTTATAAGAAAGTTGAATGCACACTACTGAAAAGTCCCATACTAAGATGAAACGGCCGTCTAGTGCTTTCAGGTTTTCAATGGTGGTCTAGCTTCAATTGACTCATGAATTCAATTACTAAATTACTACAATCTCCACAAAACCCTTCACTGATTATAACATAAGTGTTGAAATCCATTTAATTGAACTGGTATTTTAATCCTGTCACCATGTCAAAATTTATATCCTAAACGTACTAATCATAATTTCATTAGTAATTTACTGAGTGGTTAAAACGTTTTTTTTACTTTCAACAATTTGATCTCACGTCTGAACTCGTTATTTATTTGTTTTAATTTGAACAATTGGGAATCATCATTAGGTCATTCCGTCCTACTTTATGGCAATGAAACATGGCCGGTAAGAGTAGAGGATATTCGTAGGTTACAAGTATTTGATCATAGGTGTCTTCGAAATATTGTTCGTATATCCTGGGACCATCGAGTAAGTAATGCAGCTGTTAGGAAACGGGTACTAAGTAAGGATGGCAAATCAATCGATGACGTAGTGAAACTTCATCAGTTGAGATGGCTGGGACACGTGTTACGTATGCCCAACGACGGACTGCCTCGACGTGCGATGTTCAGTGGTATAGGAGTAGATTGGGAGGAAACTAGGGGCGGCCAGACCAAAACATGGGACAAATCCATGAAGTCACTGACAAGTGGTCTGAGTCATGTTGGTAGGTGTAGACTACCTGATTGGGGACCGCGAGATGATAGCAACCTCTGTGATATGAATAATTTATTTCAAACATACTGCGTTTATGTACCAACCAGACAATTCACATCGTACCGTAAAATAGGAAACAACATTTGTACAAGATTTAGCCAAAAGTAGCTGTGTATATGGGAGGTAGCAATTGATAGACTGGGTATAACTCACGAATGGTAAATCGTATAATAACAGTTCATATGTCAAAATAAAGCTTATAATAAGAGGAACATGAATATGAATAGTTTAGTCATTTTAAAATTATACGATAAAAATATACGTATAGTATTGGTCCATAAATGGGTCTCAAAAGTTACCATTCATTATTCTCATCGGGATATAACAGTCTGCACAAAGTATGTGTTTCAAAGCTTTAAGTATGTGTACCTAGTTTTGATTACTGGGTTTCATCAATTACTGATAGGCATGCATACAGGCAAATCCACGTATTGGCAATAACTAGGAAATACTTTAATCAAGTATGTTAGTAATAATTAGTATGCTTTTTTTATGGGTTAACTAAACAGCTTTCAGAAAAGTAAACTGAAATGATAGTCTTATGAAATCTCATGTACATAAGGTAAGCTAATATTCATTCATATTAGTGATACGAGTAGCTTATAATGATTTTACTGTCTAAACAATAGTTTTTAATACATGTATCCTAGTTTTATGCAACTATCATTCGCTCCACGGCGCCATCCCATAAATCAACTAGCTTTTCTCTTTTTTCCATCCAGTTTTAAAACAGTGCATAATGTGAAAGTCACTGGGGTGACATGAGTAAAACATCCAAATCGCCAAAGCTGGTGTTTTAAAACATTTTCATCGGTTGAAATAATATCACTATGCCCCAACACACAGTACCTGGATTTAGGTACTAACTGCACGGTGTTATCATCTGATTTAAATAATTCCTTGGAGACTGACGATCAACTACTAAGAGAGCCACCAAACATACTCAACTTAGCGGAGGTTATAATAGACCTACTTTCACCGATTTATAAACCCGACGTTTTAGACTCAGATTAACGTTACGTCAGCCTATCAATCAATAAGTCAAACTTCTGCTTGTTCAGTTTATAGATGGTAACGTTACTTATAGACTTTTTTTGTTAATAATTTTATAACTGTCATTTAATAATTTACGCAACTTTTGTGTTTAAAAATATTGTCTCTGAGTTATTTACTTATGATGCTGTTGGGTTGTAATAAAAGCATCTCCCTAATTTTGTACACTTATCTTTCAGCACGTTGAATACAGAGCTTGATTTCCAGTTTATCACTTCACGTATAGCAGGTTAGTAATCGTTAATAATCCTACTCACAGTAATGTATTCGTGTCAATATTTTATGGAAGTTTCTATAAGGTTCATACTTAACCTTTTCATTGTTGCGAATTTGTTCACTTTTATTTAAGCTTCTTAACAGCATCCAAAATTATGTTCATCAAGTTTAAATACAAATGTGCAGCGTTTCATAAAATTTATATTCCTCTATCCACCACCTTCAATGTGTTGTATAATCCCTCACTCATATAGGATGCCTATTCTTGAAGTAAAGAATAGCTCGCTGTCAGACATCTGATACCGTTAATAATTAAGTTTGGGTTCATGTTTATTATGAATTCTCGATGGTGTTTTCGTTCTCCAGTGGTTCTGTGATTGTATTTTTCTGGTTACAGTCACATAGTATAATCTGATTTCCAATTATTTACTAACACCAATGTTCGGCAAGAACGAACTAAAAATTTACTGCAGATTTTCACACTTTGGATATTATTGTGTAAATGCCAGCGATCCAACACAGTTTAGGTGCAATAGATTTTCATTGTTGTCCAAAGACTAGGATACTGCTTGAGTACCTAAATTGAAATAGTTGAAGCAAAACCTTGATATTAAAACCAGTTACTGAAAGACTGGTTTTCAAATAACTGATCCACTACTCTAACTAATTGAAAATGAATTGTGTAGCTTATGTGATTATAATTTCATCATGTATGTAATCTTTCCCATAATAAATAAAAATAATATATTTGTAATATCACATATTATTATTCTTATTGTTCCGTTGTACTATTTAAACTTGGACTAATTTTAATTTGGTTATTTATTCTCTGAAGAAGTGGCTTCCACTAAGTCACGAAACGTCAGAAAATCTAATTTTCTACTCATTGGGACATTACAAATATATTATTTTTATTTATAACAATCAACCCAATGCTCAATTTATTCGAAATTATCAGATCAAACCTTGGTAATGACACCTATTTCCCAAAATACTTAGGGAGATAACATTTAATTTCTTTTATGCTATGTATGGTACATGAATGCTTGATAACTACTAATCGTTGTCATAGAATCTACTAGACTTGAACTTTGGATGGTAGTCAAAGGAGGAAATGTGGAAAAAGCTTTACTTTCAAGCTTAGCAGTAGGTATAAAAAATAAGTATATATCTTGAATTCGGTGAGGTTGTCAGTATCTGGAAGGAAAACTGTATTGAACCTTTGTATTGCTGTTTACTCAGTTCAATGTTTATTTAGCTTTAGTTTCACCTCGGCAACCACCAGTTGGTGGTGATCTGAAGATATGTCAGCTCCTTTCCTGGTTCTCACGTCTTCCATGGATCTTACGAATTTTTTGCTGATGTAAATATGAACGATCTGGTTCTCTGCAGTGTGATCCAGTGAGACCCATGTAGCTTTGTATATGTGTTTGTGTGGGAACATTGTGCAGCTTATAACCAATTTGTTGAATGCACAAAAACTTTCAAATCTCTCACCATTCTCATTCCTTTCTCTCAGTCCATGTCGTCCCATGATATCTTCATATCCGGTGTTGTTCATTCCGACTTTGGCGCTTACGTCTCCCATCAGGATGGTCAGGTGGTTAGCTGGGCGCTTCGCTATGATCGATTGCAGCCTCTCGTGGAACTGATCTTTATTGTCATCATTGCTACCATTGGTGTGTGCATAACATTGGATAACATGCATTGTAAATCCGTCCTTCTTTGTTTTGAAGGATGCTTTGATGATGCTGGATCCATGAGATGCCCATCCTATAAATGCATTTCGTGCTTGTTTGGACAGTATCAGAGCCACTCCCTCAGTGTTTGGAGCATTTCCCTGTTCGTGACTGGAGTACAGCAGCATCTCTCCCGAATCTAACATTTTCTGTCCAGTTTGGGTCCAATATGTTTCGCTGATTCTGGGCACCTCCATGTCGTATCTCCTTATTCCATAGTTATTTGACTGGTCCTTCTGGTCTCCCACATTGTCCGAACATTCCATGTAGCTATATTAATTGTTGGTTTGATTTTTAGAGGGGTCATCGACCTTGTGACTTCCGAAGAATCTCGGCCTTCATTATGAGGCGTCACAATTTTTCCTTTAACTCGGAAGACAGAGTTTAGATGGTTTAAATTGTTTATTCTGTTTAGCGTTTTTTATTATCATTTCTTCTACGGGATGAGGTTGTCATCCCTATGCTCTACCCTCCTTCTTACTTGGGCTTTGGACCGACAGTAACTTTAGAAGAGCTGCAGGCGGCGTTCCGGAACGACAGAATAAGATATAATTCGTTAGGGTGATTACTTGGCGATCTCTAAACAGCATTGTACCACTTAACAAGTAACTAGAAGGTTTTCTTATAAAGTAGTCTTATATAATTTACTATTTAGGATTCTGTTCAGTCGCCATATTTTCGGAGCAATAAACATATATAGCCATATAATTCAAATATACTCAGTTTATTCAGTAGGGTAATTCTTTTCAATGAGTTCTTTTACCAGGCTGTACAATTGTACGTTTACACATCTGATGAATTCTAGGTCAACAAATAATTGCCTGTCAGTTGTAATTTGATTAGTTTTGTGTGAAACTTGACTACATCTTTTTAAGTAAATAAATTGTTATTGAAACACGATAAATACATAATCAGATGGAAAACGTATCTGTTAGTATCGTTGAGATGAAGATCTGAGAATGACAACCAAGTTATCGAGATAGAAACGGTCTTTGTCATAATAATAGTGATAGAAAAATAGAATAAATGAGAATCATCTCTGTAAACTCAATAGTGAACAATGAAAAGAGAAGGAACAATGAAATAAATAAAATAAAACTGCAAATTACAACCATATTGAAAAGTTGGATCTGACAAATTGTTTTTATACTCACAAAATTGTGGATGCCTTAAGCTTTCCGTATTATAAAGTTAAGTACATTTGACTAAATTCTACCTACACGCGTTACATAATAGTTATATAATAACACATCGATTATAAACTAACATTGAGTAATTGGCAGAAAGAGGATTGATAATAATCAAAGTAATTATTATTTGTCTACCCCAAAGAAAACCAGCTGCTTCGGTCTGGGCACCCGGGCAGTATCACAGCCCTCACACAAACCTAATGAGATGACAACTGTGCACACTTCAGTCAGAATTCACACATTTCACATTCACTTAATAATAATAGCCGATGGGGACTTGTTGGTTTAAGGTCAGATAATGGGGACCATCTACTGCAACTGTACACAGACCACAATCTGTTTCTGGCTAGCAGTAACTTCCGGCATAGTCATCGCCGATGTGCCACTGCCGCTTCTTTAGGAGTACCTCTCTAGACTCGGAACATGCCGTTGTTTGCGCCAATCTTACCTTACTTTTCACTGGCCAACGAATTCATCGCCCTAAACGGCTTTGTCAGTAAATTGATTGCAGCTTGTGTAGAAAATAAGTATCGAACCTAGTTAGCTTCTAGGCTAGCTACTATCCCACCGAAAACTATAAATAAGCATTGGTTGGAATTGCGTGACGCTATGAAAATGGTAAGTTCGTTTGCAGCTTCGCGAAACGTCCCGATTATAAGCACTGGGTTTCTTCAGGCTCCTCACAACTCGTCGAAGCCCGTCGGTCTACTCCGGGTGATCATGAGTTTGACCACAAACGAAGGACGTTACGTAATGAAATTGGGCAAAGCTTGCAAAAGGACCGAGAAGCCTGGTGGTCGGTGCGGGCTAATGAACTGGAAGCAGCAGCTGCATCTGGTAACTACCGGAAGCTCTTCCAACTCATCCGAGTCACTGGCAGCAAGAAGTCTGGTGTGAGCGAAACAATCTGCGAGGCTGGAAGTCCGCAAGGAACTCCGATTCTTGAAACGCTACAAATCACCGTGCCTAGATGACTTACCTCCGAATCTTTTTAAAGATGATGGTGACATTCTGACTAAGGAACTGGCGACGTTGTTTACAAAGCTGTGGGAGCTAGGGAGTGTCCCAACGTCATGGAATGAGTCGATAGTTGTCCCTATCTTCAAAAAGGGTTCACGTTGTTCCTGTAACAACTATCGGGGGATAAGTCTACTTCCGATTGCGTCCAAGCTATTGGCTTCCGTCATACTTCGTAGGTTGTTCAAAACCCGAGAAAGATTGACTCGCGAGGAGCAGGCTGGGTTTCGTTCTGGTCGAGGATGTATTAATTACATCTCTACCCTCCACCAAACACCTGGAGAAAGACTTCTCGACCTTGAGTATGCGGATGATATTGTCTTACTGTGCGATAATGCCTAAGGCATGCAATCCGCACTTAATCATTTGGCAATCAGTGTCCGTAGATATGGTATGTGCTTTGCACCTTCGAAGTGCAAAGTACTTCTACAAAACTGGCAGGATCCTAATCCTGTACTCACCCTGGATGATGAGCAGATAGAAGTAGTCGAGAAGTTCGTGTATCTAGGTAGCTGTATAAGTGCTAGTGCGGGTGTGAGTGATGAGATCAATGCACGTATAGTGAAAGCCAGAGCGGCCTATGCCAATCTGGGCCATCTTTGGCGCCTTAGTGATGTTAGTCTGGCTGTAAAAGGTCGGATTTACAACGCGTCGGTGAGAGCAGTTTTGCTCTATGCTTGTGAAACCTGGCCTCTCCGAGTTGAGGACGTTAGACGACTTTCTGTGTTCGATCATCGTTGTCTCCGAAGGATTGTTGACATCCAGTGGAAACACCATGTTAGTAATGCAGAGGTTTGGCATCGTGTGTTCGGGCACAGAGAAGATAATTCAATTGGTGTCACCATCTTGAAACATCGACTTCGGTGGCTTGGACATGTTCTACGAATGTCGTTCTAGAGAATTCCACGTCGTGCATTATTTACCGTCACTGGGACTGGTTGGAAAAGGCGGAGAGGTGGTCAGTGTATTACATGGTGTCGTGGTATGAAAGAAAGCTGCAAAGGACTAGCTTGTGCTGGTCCTTTACGACTTCTTGGTTGGGGTCCTAGAGATGGTGCAACGCAGTGGCTAGAGACTTCGTCAGATATGGCTCAGAATAAAAGCCAGTGGAGATCCTGTCGTAACTATATTTCAGTTTCTTCATAAAAGGTGACCATAACTTCTTTAAATGAAAGAATTGTTTCTGGTTGTACCTTTCCGTTTTACCCATTATTATTGTTTCACTACTATACACTAATTTGTGGTCGCTTTTGTTCCGTCTTTTACAGTCACCTTATATCATTTATCTCTTCCCATTCTGATTATTATTGTGTGACGCATATATGTATCTTGTGTCCCCTTGTACCAATATTTATGTGTTCAAATAAATAAATCAAATGCTCAGTTAACGGGATATTTATTGGAGTCAGATATAAGGGAAATAGCCTCTGTATATTTAATAAATTATGATCTACCTATAGGTTATTTTTGTCAACGTAATACGTACTCGACGTTCTTTAGTCTAAGCACGTGAGGATAATTCACTGATGATCTTTATGTAATGAATATAATTAAGTGTTTAATATTTAAATAAGTGATGTGATTATTAGATTATACCTATTTTGCTGCATATGTATAGTGACTAGCAGTGACCAATCAAGCTGAGCAACCATTTCGGGTTTGAGGAAGATACGCATCGAAGACAATGGTAGGTGATCGTACTATTTCGCTGGTTGATTGAAACTAGACTTTTATACCATTAGATTCTGACTTGGTGGTTTAGAGATTTAGCGTTCGCGTATCAGTACGAGGTTCCTGGGCTTGATTCTCGATGGTACAGTCGTGGATGCGTACTGCTGGGAATTACAGTATTAAGACGAAACGGCTTTCTTGTACTTCAAGGTTTTTAATGGTGGTCTAACTGAATTCGGTTCGTGATATTAACGAGATTTAACAATTTTCTCAACTCGATGCCGATCTATGTAAAAACATGTGTTTTTGCTTTTCAATTTAATTCATTTTCTTTGTACAAATTTACTATAAAAAAAACACTGTCTTTTATGCTTTAGTTACATCTTTCCCCATTGAAAGTGGATTTGAAGTGCTTGCCAATGTGAATTCCATGGAAGAAATGCAAAATATGCTAGATGCACGTTTTTCAGATGCTTATGCTGTTTATAATCTTAGTAATCGTCCATATCGTTCAGATCATTGGTTTCATGGTAGAGTATCACATCGTGGTTTCGAAGCACATCGTGCTCCAGCGCTAAAATCATTAATTGAATTATGCTTAAATGCAAGGTTATGGTTAGCTCAAAAATCGAACAATATTTGTGTTATACATTGTACCGATGGTAAAACATTGTCCGCAGTATTAGCATGTTCCTTATTATGCTTTTGTCGGGTATTTGATAACGCGTCACCTGCCATTCAATTGTTTGCATCGAAACGTGGCAATCCTGGCTTGAATGCATCACAGATTAGGTATGAACTTTTCGTTCTAATCTTTGTTCTTGTATTAATTGTGTTTTCTGTATATATTACACGTTAAGTTGCTATTAACTGTTTATCCTAGCATTTAAAAGATTTAATGAATTGTAAACAAACTAACTGTATTTCTTTTTATTTCAGGATTTCATGTAGTAAAGATGAGATGAGTGTGATGAATTAACTCAATGCCGTCAATCGAATAGCTAATGACAAACATTTAGAGTTATAAACTATATAATCAAAATCTAAGATAAAAAACCCACAAATTTTAAAGTGTTACAAACAGGATTAATATTTGGAATCTATGGATTCGAATAACTTTCGACAAATTTATAATAACAGCATATATGACGTTTAATCATATATTTATTTACAATTCCCCACTCGTTGGTTTAAAGAGATTTCACTTTACTTTAAGACAGTTAGTTAGAGACTTGGACGTATTCTAATCATATTCACTGCATGATCATTAGACATTTAATTCTTACTAAAATGCATTTTTTTCAACCATTCTCAGTGTTGTCAAATAAAGTACGTTGTGGAAGATTTTGGGATGGTATTCGTAGCACATCTTCAAGCCACTGAAGCCAGTGTTTCAAGATTGCGACACCAAGTGAGTTATCATCACTGTGCTCACACACAAATTACTGAACATCCGCGTTACGGAAATGTTGTTGATACACGATAGACATATCTCTACTTTCCCAGTTTCACTGACTTGATAAGAACGAAGATATTTTCTGATGGAAATTGTTTGAAGTCAAATGAATAGTCAATTAAGCCTGTATGGTAATCATAGACTAACACACTGGCTGACAAAGCAGTGATCAATTGCGCTGCCATTAGAGTACAGGGCGTCTTAGTCATATATACATATCTCCGAACTAAACGAATTTCTACAAACAATCAAACTATCTGTTAAAAAAATCTTTCTTGTGGGTGTTTATTTTGAAGCTATTATTTAATCTAAATGACACATGTTTAAATTATTCCCTCTATTTCCATGGATATTTATTTTCTGACACTCATTGTCTCATTGATTGTTTTATTTAATGAACGTACGTAACTAAATCGATTGAATGAACTCTAATTGATTTTGTTTCTTCTTTTCCTACTTGCTCATGCAGATATATCAACTATGTAGCTCAGTTAAGTCATAATCGTGTATTTACACCTCATCATTTCCCATTGAATCTTATCAGTTTGATAATTGCACCGGTACCAACATTTAATAAATCCAAGTAAGTACTCTCTTCGTAAGTTCATGCTAAATTATGTGTATCTTTAATTGTTTTTGTGTTGATTGTCAGTGAGCGATATATATATCCTATTGTATTGTTGTTGGTATTGCACTATCAATGAGTCTGTACTTGTTTTCTGTTATTACTGTCATGTACTAGATTAGGAATAATTGAATTTTTATTTTGGTGTTTGTCATAAGTCGATTTTTTTGTTTTAATAGTCATGAATTAACGTGGATTATATAGAACACTTTGTTTTATTTTTGTCAATTCTAACTCATTATTATTGGTACTTTTTTGATTGATAGATCTCAACTCAGTTAAATAATCTTAATACATTAAAATTTTGACTGAATCTATCTAAAATCCTCGTTGACTTGTGAAAAATAGTTATTGTAATGATTAGATAAATTTAATTAGGTTAGGTAATTACTAACAGGTGAACCCAAGATTCACTTTCTGTTCTATTTTGGACTCGTCAGTTGGATGTATCTGCATCCCTACGTTGATGGTTGGATTGATACTCAAACTCAGTTCTTTTCACTTCAAACTTCAATGCCTTTTTCGCCGAACAACGGAGTCCAGTTGGATACTAGTTCTTACAATCGGTATCTGTTTCATTTGCAAGAGTTCATTTTTTCCTGTTGTTTAATTTAAGGACTAAAATTGATCGGTCTACAATGGAATAGGTACATCCTGATTGGCTCGGTTTAATATTCCTTTTAGGTCAGATACTTGTGTTAAATTTGACTAGTAGCCAACAGTATAAATCAGGACGCTCTTTTTGTCTTGTTTGGTACTAGTTACTCGAACGAATATTTTTACTGATTTGTTATAATTTATTTATTTGTTTAAACACAATCATTGGTACAAGGAGGAAGCAATTATTTGTGCGCCACATAAATCATTTGATTTTTGTGAGGGTTGGTATACTGTTCGAGCGTCCAAACCGAAGCAGGTACTTTTCTTAGGGGGTAACTCCCCTAGTGTTCGACCTAGAGGTCTATTCCACAAGGCATTGGAGCAACGTTAGTAGATGCAGTCCCATAGTAGCCGGTGACCAGCAATAGGTTCGTACTTTATATGTCCCCTGAGGATCTTGGAGTCCATGTGCACCATTGGTTTGGATTCAGGGTTTTCCAACTCCCCTAGGTGAATACAGTGGATTTGGGCTCGTAAATTAACATGAAATTTATAAAAAAAAGAAATGCAACCCATTTACCATATACAGTTCTACGTACTCACTTTTCAACTTCAATGTCTATATTGAAGCTTAGTGATACTTTCCTATGAGATTGCCTAAATCAAAGAAGGTTATATTCGGAGCTAATAATAGCAATTTTTTATTATAAAGATTGCTTGTTTTTCTTGAAAATATTTCAGAAATGGATGTCGACCGTATGTGGAAATATTTGAAGGGAAGACCAAAGTATACTCAACTTACGCAGAATACGATAATTTAAGGTTATTATTATTATTATTATTATTATTATTATTATTATTATTATTATATAAGCAGAGATAAATGGTGACTCATGAGTCCATATAGCTAGTAACTTGTGGAATGGAGTGAAGTTTAATTCACTTGTATCGATTGTTTGAATCTTTCCTTTGGTGTTTAGAACTACCATTCACAGAGGACGCTCATATGCAAAAAGTGACTGATCATTTCTAGTCCCAAACATCAATGAGAAGATTGAAACAACCGATTCAAATGTGTTTCAGTTGTTCTCTACTGTTTTGCAGAAATTTTTTTTGCTTTTGGTTATTGGATCACTTTGTTAAAAAGTTTAGTTTGCGTTCACTATTATTAACGTATTTATAAATATATTTTTTATATAAAATCAAATTTCCTATCCATACGATAACCCTGTTTAAAGTTAGAAAACTAAGAAGAACTCTGTGATTATCATAGTTCATCTAGTAGGTAGCACCGATGTCATTGTCGGCTAAGTCAAATGACGAATTTTTCGAATGAGGACAAAGCTTCAAACATTCTTAATACAAAATTTAATGAAATTGTAACATTATTTTTTTCGAAACAGGAACAACAGAAATGAAATCCGTAGAATGCATAGAGGTGATTAATGTTAGCAGGATTTTTTATGTCTTAGTTATAAACAACATAGTAATTACCAAGATTGTGCACCCTTTTAGGTTGTCTCATTTTACATCTGTTCAGCAAGAGTCAATAAATGAGATGAAGGATAATTGAGGTTCTCCACTGTATTCGAACAATTTTTCTAAGATATTTGTTTGATTAGGTACAAGCAGTCTACTGCTCTTCACGCTATAGACTTCACTTTACAGCCATAAAGAATCACTACATCGTATACTCATCGTTTGATAGCCAGACGGACACATCTTGTTTGAAATGCAGATAATACAAGCTTGGCAAAGTGTTTGAGACTTTTTTATCCCCAGAACTCACTTGGAAAGAACCCAATTTTGTAATTTTATTTAGAAAATTCGGATTTCTTTGTTTTCGCGCCAAAAGCGCTCTTTTCGCCTTCATGTCGTATCTTCCACTTGGGAGAATCTTAAACGCTATTGGTCTGTTGTGTCTTTAAGTATGCTATTTTGTAACTCTCCGCAAGGACGATTTTGTGCTGTACGTTTATGTTTTGATTTGTGTGTGTTGTTATCGCTCGTTTTCTGGCTGTTCGCGGAAGCATTCTAAACACTTTCAAAGAACTGCTACATTTTGTTAGTATCTTTTCTGATTAGGACTGTGCCATCTGAATATACCAATTAGATACACCACAACGGTAGGTTATCGAGTGGTAAATTAATGTAGCATTGACGAAGTAAATTTCTGTGTATTTTACCTTGAATCACACTGTGTTTGATGGATAATGGTTCTACTTTCTTTCTCAAATTAAACTGTAATGTGGGATTTTAACACAGTAGTTGTTTTCTAACTACTATAGTAAATTAGACTATCTGATCCAACAGATTCTGACTGTGTTTTGTATATATGGAAATATTTACACTATTGAGTACGAGTTCATTTCTTATCCACTGAGTACGTTGATGTTATTTATAAATGACTGACAATTATTCCTGTGCATCAGTTGATATCCATGAAAAATAAAACAATAAATCTCGCTTTCCTTTCTTCTTTTATTGTGTCCTAAACAATAATTTAAAAACGATAAATTATTTCCGTCAAGTGGCTGATACGTCAACTATTGTGCAGAACAAAAACGTCATTACATTAGTGCAGCTCAGTACACAGTAAATGTTTTGTGAAACCTAGTAATAATACCTAGTGTTTATAGTCTGAATCAGCAAATTAGTGGTCGACAATCAAATGATCGAACGCCTTTGAGGCAACAGATAATCTGATGACATAAGTTTTATTAGTTTCGACTTTTACGTGTTTTTATAATAATTATTTGTACTTGTTTTGTCTTTATTTTGTGATAGATCCTATGTTCTTGAAGATGGAAAGATCCAAGTACTTTTGAATGGATTAACTGTCTTAGGTGATCTTACAGTTATCATTTATCATTGTCGATCTTCATTTGCTGGACGTGGCAAGGTAATATCTACCGTATTTACTTTCATACCCTTTTGTTTACAAATATTACTACCTATGTGACTGCCTTAGCACTTATTCAATATTAAGTACTTTTTTGTTATGATAAATTGTACAATAGCTGTGATATATTAATTGCATTCACTGTTGTACTGTTGATTCTGACATTGTCTACATTGGTACTTACTGGCTCATTCCATTGTGAATGAATAAAATCATTGTCAAACAAAAACTTGAAGAAGTCATGATATTAGTATTGCTGAGAATGCAAAGTTAGAACTGCCGTAAACTATAGACAGAATGTGAAAGTACGTTCTGATTACTGTTAGCCTTCTGAAACTGTACTACCTAAAGTACTTCCAGTTTTGGGGGATGGAATAGTTGTGTTGACTTCAGTGACCTAACTGGTATCCTAACTTCTGATCAACTCATAATATATACCTTCATTCTTGTTTTGATCAACACTATCCGTTATCAGACTGATGATAGTAACACTAGACTGATTGAACATGTAATTGAATATATTCGGTTCTGTAATAAAATCTTTTTTTGTTTTAATCATTATTACATTTTGTTAGTTTAATTACTGTTAACTAATGATTGATTGAGTAAAGTGTACCGACTTGTTTTTTCTGCACATTCATGCCAAATAAGTTCATAAATTAGAAATTCTGTTTTTTATATGTATAAGTTCCTACTTAAAATTCCAAATTATTCATGATATTTGTGTTCATGACATTTCATCATGGACTGAATTGAAGCATTTAGTATTTATTATACACTCATCACTATTAAAAAGATTAACTTTATTTTTTTTAAAATTGATAACAATCCAATAGCAAATTGTCCAACTAAAAGACCGTCACAACTACTCACTATTAGGTTATCATATAAACCTATTTTATTTTTATTTTATCCTAATCTCATGGTTATACAAGGTAATTTTGTTTAACTGAATAGTTGAGATCTTTAACCTTGTGAACTAATCAGCTTCATTTTATGAAAAGCCAGATCAGAATATAAGATTAAATTGTGACATAAGATTAATTACTTCAATATGTTTCACATGTGCGTATACACTCGTTCAACTATCAATCTAAGTTCATTAAAATGACAGTTATTTTTATCTTATGAACCAATCTTATCAACTCGGTCTACTTTGCCTAACATACTGATTTAATTTATTATTTATTATGTAAATCATTAGTTTCTTTTTGTGATTTCCTTTTAAATAAATAATTTGTTATTCGATAATTATAGTTAAAGCATAGTATGAGTAAAAGAAACAATCAAAGTAGAGGAAATTTTCTCCGAGTTTTGTGCCAAAATTAAAAGTTCAGTAGATTTGATCCTCCACCACAAAGAATACATACAATAGAAATACCTTCTGTCTAGTGTTTAGAATGCTTAAATTTGGTTGGGAAAGTTCTTTTGTAAAGTAAAAATGATAATGTTAAACTTATTAACTGCTCAATGTATTATCTGTCAATTTTACAGAAAATGAATCACTTTTTGTCATTTACTTTATGGTAAATTTCCAAAGAGATTATTTTATTAATGATTAACTGAATTATAATTAATAGGCAAGTATAATAGGAACGTTGAAATAGATGACGATATTCTCGCATGAATTGTTCATGTCATTATGGTGACAATCATAGGTGACTTATCATTTCATCTCTTTAATTCGAACAAATTGATCAATAAGGATTTTGTAGGCAATGATAAACTTATATTCTGAAACTTTTTAAGGCTATGAGAAAAATCCAAAAATTAACCGTTAGTGTGAATAATTTCCCTTTCACATTAATGCTGCTTTATGTAGTGGTACTTCTACAAAAAAAATGATAACAAACCATAGAAAATTACTGAACTTTATAAAACCACTAACAGGTCTTACAAGTTCTTTTGTAAAATACTTACACAGAATCTCCGCTGATTGACTGTCTATTGACTTTAATTTACATAGTCATTTTAAGAGCCATTCAGGTTCGTCTCTATGCCGAACTTTTACTAAACTTATATTAATTCCGACTTATTATTTTTGTATCAAAAACTTGCATCTTGATTTTTTTCGTCGAGCAAAGTGTATGTTGTCAATGACATATGTGGATATTTGTTGTTCCTCTCATATTATTCTTTTGTTATAGATCAGTTCAGTAAAGATCGCTCAGTTTCAATTACACACTGGATTTGTAGAACATAATTTAACTGAACTAATTTATTTTAAGTAAGTCATTTGTATATAGAGATTTTAGGAAGTGGTTTTTCTTTTTGATTTTTAAGAAATTGATTTTTTTTCAATCTTCTCTTTACGTGTTTAATATCAAATGTGTAAATGTGGGTTTTTCTACGTACTAATATTAAATTGTTAAGACGGTAATCTTTATGAGAAACAATGTATATCTGCTAAATCTCTTGTACAAACTATTACATTTATTGGCAATATAATTTCAATTGTATTCAAGTCTAATAGCATGTACCTTAGATTATTGATTCATACTTCATTGTGTCTCAGGCATAATATGAATTGTCTGTACAATATGAACTGACCTTGTGACTGATCACATAACCTCTTTAATCGCTGTTTAAACTAATAAAAAAATTAAACTAATCAAGGACATTTATGAGTCAATGATTACAATTAAGTAGATTGCATAACTACACATAATTGGCAAAAAGTACTAATTCATAGTAAGAAGAGATGTGTACTAGTTGTAATAATAAGAATAACAAGAGTTCTAGTCAATAGTTCAACATAGGAACTAGGTTGAACTTGGATAGGTAGACGTTAAAATAATAACCACATATTATTATTGCCATCTGTAGTTTGTCGTACAATTAATGTGATTTGAAACTAACATGTCTAACGTTTTGTGTCTAAATGTAGAAATGTGGGTTTGAGGAACAAAACGCTACAATTTTTCATTGACAACAATGGTTATGGCGCACATTGTAGACAGCAAACTGATTATAAAGAAAATCCCAGGTTTTTGTCTAATAATGTGAAACATGTGTCTGTCAGTATATTGATGTAGTTCTAATTAGGATTCTCCTGTCTTTATTTCAGTTAGCAAATAAGCACTATATAAACCGATTATATCTAATCGTTTGCTTTATGAGAAAGTAAATATATGTACACTTGGTTACCGAATTGTTACGTTACCTCTTCTAAACTCAAGTTAGCTAATTGAAGACTCCAAGAATGGAAATGACCTATGATAGTTTTAAATTAAACCATTAAATGTCAACTTTTGTTCCAATTTTAGCTTCATTTCACTGTCTAACGTTTAATAGAAATACAATTTTTATTCAGAAAAATAAATGTTATACATTAACTTGATGGAAAATATCTCTCATAGACAGATAATTTATGTATTGTTTAGATTAAAAGTCGCCAGTTTCCAAGTATGCACTACTTGACATATATTTTGAAATCCATTTGTTTTTTACTGTCATTAAATTCATTATGCTCTTTATATATAGCGAATTCAGAAATGAAAATTCCTGTTTTGTTTGTATTTCTAGTCTTCTATTGCATAACGATATAATTTGAACAATGCGAAATACTACATAAATATTCATCCGTAATCATTCTTACCCCACTTTACATTAGGTTTTCTTTATAACATATCGGTCTAATTGAATGAAAAATGATTCGGTAGCACTTTTGTTGACTTTATTTATGTACATTAAATTTAATAAAATGGAAAGGAACGATCCGATGTAAGCTGTTATTATAGCTGTTTGTAAACAACGATATAATATCATTCAAAAATTCCACGTAGATAATGCTAATCATATTTGACACATCTTCCACAAAATGAATCGCTGTGTGCTTTTTTGCGCTGAATTCTTGAACAGATGAATTTCTATAGTTAGCAAATATCTGCACTTTTATCTTTAAGCAGTTGTTACCGATTGATTATCGGTTTTCATTGATTTTTGACATTAAGTACTTCATTATCGCTTTCATAATGTCCACTTTATCTTTAATCTCATCGACGGCCTATTGAAAACTGCTGACGACAAGTGTACTACCCTTGGTTTCCATAGATTTCTCATCTACAGATCACTTTGTGACAGAAAGTAATATTTACACTTTACAACTCCCTTTAAAAACACTATCTAAATAAATGCTTTTCTTCAAGTTTTGGATTAATATACCACTAGGTCTCACAGGTTTTTAAATCATGAGTCAGTTGAAGCTAGACCACCATTGAAAACCTGGAAGCACTGGACGGCCGTTTCGTCCTGGTATGGGACTCCTCAGCAGTGCGCATCCACGGTCCCGCACCACTAGGTATTGATTTTTCATTCGCAAAAGCATTTGCCCCCATGCATCATTACATATTACTTTTTTTTTCAATTTCTTTTCAACAGATCCGATTTAGATCATTTAGATAATAGTAGCAGCTTTGCCGGTTTCACTAGTCGTTATGCTGAAAGTTTTCATATTACATTGGAATTTATGGTTTCACCAACTGAAAGACCAAGACAAAGTGACAATCTTGTTTATCCGTGGGAAACTTTACCATCAAATGATCTACTTAGTCCTAAACTCTGTGTGTCAAATCATGATGAACTGAAAAATATCTTATCTGATTACGGTAAATAAGAATACATAGAATGGTTTTATGCATAAACATTTGACGAATTTTCACTGTGTTTTTATTGCATTATTTATAAAATGATGATCATTGATACTGTTCTTGGGCAAAATGAATTCAATCGTATATTCATATTGTGAGCATCAGCTATGTAAATAATTTCCCATTAGAATTAGCTCCCCTTGTTAAATAACCATGACAGGTATAATAATAATTGTATTAAATCAAAACGTAAATGTACTGCTTATATCCAATATATATCAAGTTTTGATTTGATTAGCTAAGCAGTATAAATCAATTCATTAAGTATCAAAATATGATTTTGACTAGCCAACTTACCTTCAGTTGTAACTTTTCTCGGTGATTATTCCTCTGAATAATTTCATTTACCTTGAAAATTAGAAAACACAAATGAGTTTGTTTTTTCAGTTACCGAAATTATTTATTGTTAAACAAATTCACTTATTAATTGGGTTGATTTTTAGAAAGTGAAACTATATCGTAATTCAGTAATATGTCAAGTATTTTTAATGTATTTTTTTCTATAAGTTCTTTTTATCGCAGAGATATCTTCCGTTTCATGATTAAGGTTATCCACAATGCTTTCGACGTTCACTAATTGTATCATACCTAGCATTTTCAGTTACTACTTTTGCATTCATTAAGTAACCGGGTTCTGTGTACTTTTCATCAAAGATGTTGCTTCAAGTTTTGATCTTAATCCTACTTGTTTCTTCTTCTCCAACGTATGGAACGACACTTCACCCGATATTTCGATGACAGACGAACGACAATAACGTGAGACTGTTAAAATGGAATCTTAAATGAGAATTGTACTATAATCTGCTACATTTATTTACTAAATGAATGGGAATATTGCCGTAATTTCTGATGAAATAACTTAATTAGTGAACATTGAAAGCGTTGCGATAAACCTCAGCCATTTATTATTGTTTTAATCATAAAAGTTGATGATGGTTACTTTTTTTTGTTTAAATCGTGTTTTTATTTTGACATTTTTCTTATTTCATCTTCCAAAAACAACTGATGTATCTAGGCCGTTTTAATCATAAACCATCAACTCGAATGTATGAAAAAAATAGTTCAGAACCTAATCAATCAAATAATCCATCAGAAAAAGACTGTATAACCACTAATATTAATAGCGATGAGTCATGTAATTCAACAAAACCGTCCACTACAAATTTGTTTACTACTACTCATACCATCGGTGGTAGTACGGTTAATTTAAAACAAAATACAGGAATTAATGATATTTTAGTCTCAGATTTAATCAATGATAATGACATGCCAACGAATCATAATTATACTTATTCATCAACTTCTTCTGATCACTCGAAACAAATTAACTACAATTTATTAAGTGATAAACTCGGTGGTGATTTTTTTTCATCATCCAAGAGTCAAGATAATAATAATATGGTGAGTAATCTAGTTTCTTAATTTTTATTTTAATTAATTTATTTTCACATTTTTGTCCTTCCTACTTTGACTGTAATTTCGATCAAAAACTGAAATCAATTGAATTACTGAGGAGGAAACTAAATTATTCTAATTGAGGTATTCATCATCCTACTGGTTCGGCATGATAAGTAACTTCACTATGGAATTTTCCGACGTTCTAGTGGAGACCTGGGGTCTGTGAAGTCAGATTTGTTTGAGGCGAGACCGTAACTCGCTGATGTTGTTGAATAAGAATCGCGCCGCCTTGTGAATTGATTAAAGTTAAAAAAAATTGAAATGTTCGATTATGACTCATTGATAAATTTGCATCACCACCTCAAGATCTAAGGCCTTTGTTCGATCTCTTGTGATATCATGGGAACTTACGCTTAGAAACAAGGTAGTTATTTAAAATTCAAATTGAAGTTTTGTCAAATCTTTTTTGTATAGATAATCCTATTAGGATAAATATCAATAATGTTAATAACCATAACTTATTTAGACTTTTAAATGTAAACAACTGTTTCCTCTATATTGTTTTGAGTCATTTGTCTTATGTTATTGTTTTTCTGTGTTGAATACAGTCAATTTTTCGTTAGGATTTATATATACAGGATTTCATATATTAATGAATGTGCTTAGGGACTGAAGAATAATTTGTTACAATACTTTGGTTCATCCCCGAAAAACAACTACGTGAATAGTAATGTTTCCTTCGATATTATCTTTGTATAAATTGCTACTACGCTGTTCAAACAACCATCTGTTTACCAAGTAAAAAGTTTCCATATTCCTTATAGAATACTGAGTTTAACAGTTAATAGCATCGTAAAATTGCATTGATTTGTTTATGTGTTTTTCACATTCGAGTCTCATTAACGTATTTTATTAGCTAGCCTAATATAAATGTGGTAAACACTGTTGTTTGTTTGCTACAAATTCGTATGTTTATATTCTTGTTTATTCCTTTACAGGAGGCAAGTTCTGATGACCTGCTTGGATTCCATGTGGAATCTTCATTTCCAAACACTGACGATGCTACTAGTTCTCCCACTACTACTTCTAATACTGATGATCATATTTTAATTGATGTAGCACAGAATCCTTTCGTAATTTATAATAAAAATTCACTAGATGAAATTATTACTTCATCAACAACTAGTCAGCATAATAATTCCGATGATTTGAAACAAACTGATCAAAAATCATTTGTTGATGATTTATTTAATTTCAACTCATCTGTTGAAGTCAATTCAAAAACTGATCTCGGTTGGGAGAATTTATTTGGTATCACGTCATCAGAAAGCACAAAGACCACTACTATCATCACCACTAGCCAAAGTACTACTACAAACAACATTGGCTTATCCAATAATCCTTTTGATCCATTTGGTATAGCCACATCAAAATTATCTGATTTCTTTTCAGTACCAAATTCTTATATATCAGGTGAAAACAACTCGACTACTACCATCCTTCCTGATAAAACTACCGCCACTGACTATTCTCCTCCTTCAACTACTAATACTACTACTAGCAAAGATTACTTTGGACAACAAGGTGGTCATTTAAGTGCCAGCGCCAGTGCTAATAATTTAAATCCTCTTTTTGCATCAGCTTCTTTTACAAATTTGTCTCCTAACGTTGAAACTATCCCAGACAAGACTACTAACACAGCAACTACTACTACTGGCATCAAGAATCATGATCGCCTAGATCCATTTGCAGATTTTGCTGATGTACTTCGAGATCGATTAAATAATCAAAATTTTTCCAGTACTAATGCTACAAATAGTGATAATACATATACCCCACCATCATCAAATAGATCATCCACAAACTTGGGTGGTTTTTCTGCTGGTCCCAGTCCAGCACATAATTTTAAATGTGAGCTTTTTTCAAATGTGATGAGATAATTCATCTTGCGTTTCATTACTACGCGTAAAGAACAGTAAATTTAATTCATTTTATGATGCTAAGTTAAAATACCAGATGAATGAAGTGTATCGAAATCATGAACTGATTTCACTTAGACCACCATTGAAAACCTGGAAGCACTGGACGGCCGTTTCGTCTTATTATATGGCTCTTCAACAGTGCGCATCTACGACCCTGTACGTGTGAATCAATCCCAGGTCCTTGGGTCTAGCGCACAAACGTTTAATCTCTAGACCATTGAGCCGATACCCGATGGTTTTAATCAATCCATGACATTGTGCCACCATTTTTATTATATTAAGTGGATGGGTGCGCACTACTGAGAATTCCCCTATTAGGACAAGACGACCGTTCAATGCATTCAGATTTCCGATGGTCGTCTAACTTACATCGGTTCATGATTTCAATAAAATTCAACAATCTTCACAACTTCTTTCTGTGAATGGAATTAAATCTGAAACATTAATAGAGTGAACGTGATTCATGTTGAGTGATATCCTTAATTCATGGATTCAATAATTTATCATGTTCGTATGTCTATTCCTTTTAATGTTGACGTAAGTGGCAAAACAACATAAGATTATTATCATTGTCGTGCTTAATTCGATAAAAACTTACGAAACATAGAGGACTCAATTGTCACTTGATTTTCGGTTGTTTACGTATACAGTCTTAAATGAATTGATTAAAACAAACTGGATAGTAAAGTGTCGGTCTAAGTTCTCGCTCTTGTAATGATTACGATTATAAAATTAGTGTAACTATATTTTGAAAAACATTCGTTTGAGCACATTATAGTGTAAATGTTTTTCTACGCGATGTCAATTATATCAATACACAACAATTATAGATTTTGATTGTACTATGATTTTCAACTGTATAACTCTACGATTTGTTTCTAAACGACTCTTTCAATAAATTAACATTAGTTCATTTTGAAAATACATTGGATTCATTTGGTTGGAGATAGTCGGCTTGAAACTTTGGACCCAGTTCCCATGTTAGTTAACATTCTTCAACTTGGCGTATTTGTATTCTTTAAGGAATTGGGTTCCTCTGGTGAACTTAAATTTGAGCAGCCGAATCTCACTGTTTGTTGTATTATTGTGGATTCATATAGGCTAAGACTGACTTTCCGTAGGACCGATATATTTATACTGAATAATCACTAAGTACTGGCCAACTGGGTGCTTCTCTAATCCTTTGTGCTGATCAAACTCCGTCGATCAAGTCCATTCATACTTTTTTTTTGAAAAAATCGTTTTCATATTTTTAGCTAGTATCGACTCAAAGTTTATGAACAACTCTTCAAATCATAAGGAAAGTCCTGATAATTTATTCCATGGTTATGAGAAATCTAGTCAATCGTATTCTTCCTACTCCAATTTTCCTAATACTACTACTTCTGGATCTACATCAACACCAACTAGTGGAGGAACTGGTGCTAGACCTCATGTTAATAAAGATGCATTTTCTGATTTACTTGGTGGATTTGGTTCTTCTCGAACAAACAACGCAGATGATAATAAACAACCGAAAACAGTGAATCAGATTCGTCGTGAAAAAATGGCTAAAACTGTCGATCCAGAACAATTGAAAGTAACTCTTTTTTTAATCAGACTTTTTCAATTTTGTTTAAAGTTGACAATTTTTTTAAGATTAAAAACTACCGCTTTATCCATACTACAGTAACTGTTAATTTCCCTTCTGTCAAATCTTCAAACACAATCTCTGATCATTATAAAGCTAGTAAATAATAATAATTTAAGACTGATCGTGGTAGCTTAATAGTTAATACACTTAAATTTCAGTTGTATGGGTTGTAGATTTAAGATCCATTACACTGATTTCGATAGTTTATCCCGTCATATCTCACACAAAAGTATGAATCATCATTGAATACTAATTTACACCTTGAAAAATTTTGAATAATATATATTAGTAATTGAATACTTAATGGCTCAAATAATTGACTCATGATTTGTGACTCACAGACACCAGCTGACAGGTAATCAAATAGCTAACACTAATAAATTAACCCTAACTTTTGTGTTTTCGCCTACTTCACTAACAATAAGTCTCTTAACTTAGTGACTATTCCTTGTGTTACAACTGGTAGTTCACGTAATTCTCTAACCAAAACACTAAAGATTCGATGAATGCCTTCTAAACATTTGTGGATTGGTTTATGTTAGACATTATCACCACTGGATGCCGGCATAGTGGTCCAGTAAGTTAAGCGTTCGCGCGCGAAACCGAAGGCCCCTGGTTCGAATCCCGCGAGCGGGATCGTGGATGCGCATTGCTGAGGAGTCCCACAATAGTACAAAACGGCTGTCCAGTGCTTCCAGGTTTCCAAAGGTGGTCTAGCATCGATCGGTTCATGATCTCAATCAAAAAAATTTGTTATTCAGATTCATTGCTCACGAAATTATACATATTGCGCTAGGATTTGAAATTATCAAAGAGTGCATAACTAGACCATTTCTTGATACAAAGATAAAGTTAACAGTTAATTGACCTGTAATTTGTGAACAGTAAACAAATTGTAACATCGAGATGGTGAAGAAGATTTGTAGCTCAGGTGTATGATTTTGATGGAGTTTTGTCCTTTGAGAACAAAGCTCCATCAAAATTGTAACATCATTCGATGACATTAAGGACTGAATGTAACTGAGCATTTGTTGGTAAATGCGAATGCTGATCAGGTGCTTCAATATAAAACATCATTCATGTTGAACAAGCTAATAACTCTCCGGAATCAATGTCTCAGTGGGATGACAGATTTCCATTCGAAGTAATAGTTAGATGGGCTTGGACCTCGTTGTGAACATCAAAACTGCGATCCAGAAATAAGAAAAAACTTATATGCTGAATTCCAATGCTAACTACAATCCATATATATTCTGCAACAATTAATGAATCAAAAAATAACTTACAGTTAGGTCTGTAAAAGTATCATTGGAACAACTGTTTCAGCAAGCACTCCTTAAAAATATGCTAGCTGATTCATTGAAAAATAAACTATCCAAGTTATTTCTTTCACTTACAGCCTCTTTTTAAGGAAGTTTAACTAGTTTTTTTAATAGAATATTTTCTCAATTAATTGATTATTTATTACAGCTCAGTACCATCGGTTTACGTAACTTATAAATGTGGGACTTAATTAATTAATTAACTTTCTATATCTTCTATACTTAATCAAATGTTTTTTACTTAAAGGCTAGTGATACTCTCTAACTCCTTAAGTCGATATAGAGCAAGGTTCAAATATGTAGTTCCATGGTTGAGTCGAGTATTTTAACCATAAAGTCACCTTTTTAACATACGGTTTTGTTGTTCATATTTGTGTTTTAAATTTATTAGACATTGGATATATACGATTGATAACTATCAGAATGAAAGGGATTCCTAAATTTCTCAATAATACGTGTAACACTAATGTTTAGATGCTTGCAACTTACTCATATACTGTATTTTTAAAAGTATGTTAAATATTCTGATATTAATAAAGAGTTAGCTATTGCTCAGTGTATTCGTCTTTTGATAGTCAGATGAACATCTTTCCAGCTCTATAATTAGCTAATTACATAGAACTCTTAATAATCGTGTTATACTTGTTCTTAACAGTATAGTTCTTTTTGTAATATAATTCTGTTTTTTATTAGGTCTGTGATTGGGCTGAGGGTAAAGATCGAAATCTTCGAGCATTACTATGTTCACTACCGGCCATATTATGGGATGGTGTACAATGGAATCATGTTGGTATGGCTGATCTAATAACGCGTGAACAAGTTAAACGTCAGTATAGGAAAGCTGCTCGTGTAGTTCATCCTGATAAGGTAAATTTGAATTGTTTTTATTTCTACATGACGAAACAAGATTATTATTGTTAGATAACATCAAATTCTGTACGTTTTGAGAAAAGTTATTCTTAAGTTAATTAAAGCATAGAATCTAAATCATACTCTTATTTTATGTATTTATTATTCTTTATATAGTGGATGAGTACATCACACGAGAATATCGCACGTTTAGTATTCGTTGAATTAAATGACGCTATGGCTGAATTTGACAAAAATTTTAACAACTCATCAGTCAATATGAATTTTTAACATTTCTTTTGTTTTGCCTCATTTCAATTAACATTATCTATACGTTGTTGTATTTCTTCTTTATCCAACTGTGAATTTACCTATTTATCATACAGTTAACTAATTGTATCACTCTCTGAAGTCATTCCATCCTGAAAGCAAATACTTTTATGATGAGCTATCATAATACATCTTTTTGTTCTATCTTTTTATTCATCTATACACTGCCAGGTACCTCATCTTCTGACTGACAATCTATGTAAATCTGTGATGTAGATGATTTTGTTTCATAGATAGGAGATCAAGCATTATTTATACATTACTATCCTTGTTTTCATTTATTATTGTTCATCGATGATGGTAATACTGGTTGTGGGCATTGGTGATATTGTTACCCATTCTTCTTATCCATTTGTCTCCCCATTTTTATTTGTTTTTCTCATGTGGTCACGAATTATTACCATTATTATCAGATTTTGTCCAGTTTTTTTCTCATGATTTTTGTCACACTGATGTCATACATCATCATTTGTAATACAAAGAACGAAGAGAAGAGAGAATTTTTCTGTTTGTTTATTTAAATAGTGCAATACAAGCGCCTGTTATAAAAAGCATTCTTTTGTGCTTATATTCACATGGGATTTGTATATAGTTTAGTTTCGACAATGTACTCGTTGTTGTTATTTAGTTAGTGGTGATATTATTTCTATTGCTGGTTTTCAGGAAAAACAAAGCTGAGAAACAAAAATAAATTAGTTTTCCAGTTTAGTAAAATAACAGTTTTATATTTAAAAAATTGTTATTTTTCCTACTTATCAGTAAAATATATATCTTTTGTTTTCTTGGATTTTCTTCTCCCACCTCTCATCGTTAGTTTATTATTCATCTGAATATCAATATACTTTCACGATACATTTGTTTAGTTCCAAACAATTATTCGACTGCTTCGTCTTCTAACATTGTCGTTATCAATATCTTTATCATTATTTTAATAAAGAAAATGATATTAATCGTCCATAAATGTTTTCTTTATCTCATCTTATGCTATAGCATCATAGTGGATCAGATCAGAGTGTCTGTGTGTGTGTGTGTTTGTATATACAGTTCAGTTTCATTGATTGATTACATAGCTTTAATTGTAATCTCGCTCTTTTATGAGTCGATAAATTTGACAGGACTACTCAGACATATGTAAGACAATATATAAATAATGAGTGTATTGAGAATGATATATTTTTCCAAAGAATCAATAAGAATCAGTTGATAAAAGGTACTTTTACACTCACAAGTTTGAAATGTTAAAAATATGTATATCAGAGTAAGTTTGATTCCAGTGCACTGAATCTCCTGTCTTTAGTTTTTTTAAGATAGCCACTTATTATGCGTAAATTTAGTTCAGTATTGTGTTATAAAAGAATATGGCTACACTAAGAAACATCGTGTCTAAAACTAATTTAGGGTTATAAAACTTGTTTGTTCATTTTCAACGAACTGAATAGTGAGTATTTGTAAATATCTTTCCAAAGTTAATATTCTTTATGCGAATGTCTAAGTATCATTCTTGAGAAGTAATTTCAGTCTAGAGCATATTGAAATTAGTATGTTTATTTACAAAAATAAGTAACAATAATGCATGTAATAAATTTTAAAGTTAAATTTAGTTATTTGGCGACTAAACACACACCACGTCTGCTTAGATTAAAGTACATGGAGAATATTATTACTATAAAGAAACTTATAACTGTGTTGTGAAGGAAAACAGGTAGGGACAATCAATGCATTTCAATACAAAATTACAGAAATCTTTCATCAAATGTGAAAACCATATGTTCAATACTTCATTTGCAAATCTTCCATCGATTATCTCAAACTTCATCGTTCCTCCATTGGTATAACAATTACTGCCTATATCCGTTCTCTTCGATTCGATCTTCTCAACATTCTACTGCCAGACATTCCAGTTCTGATTGATGTTATGTACTACTTACGTCAACTTAAGTAGCATACACCACAAATGTTTCATTAATATTCAACTAATAAGTTTTAAATGATGTAAAATATTGAGTATTTTCTAGGGATTTACAGAGCTTAGCATCAGCCTGCAGTTTTTCTACTATTTTTTGGTGAATATAAAATTATGATTCGAATTGTTAAGTTTTTATGGAGATTACTGATTAGTTTATGAAGTTGTGTTAACAGTGTATATAGGTTAGTGAACATACCTAGATATTCCCGTTCGCAATTATAAAATATTTGAGACGATTACAAATTTCTCTCAGAAATCTAGGCAGGAACAATAATTTCAAAAAAAATTTTAGTTCTTATTGGCATTGAGAAATGTAAAATGTTATGACGGACGAACTACTGTATGAATTGTCACGAATTTAATCCATTCCTTTAGTTCATATTTATGTAACCGAGTGAGTGGTGAGTACTCTTAATGAGAAAATTATTCATAAAATCCCCTCGTATCCAATAGACGAATATCACTAGATAGGATAAAATAAAAAACGAGTTATTACGTGTCAGGGTACTAAATTCACATAATTATTCACAAATATTTAATACAAAATAAACATGAATACAATTCATTCAAAATGTAAATGATTGTAACATTCCTACTTCGTATGTCATTCATTGACCTTAGATATTAAGACCTGACGACCAAATTTACTTATCACCTCATCATATCACAAAAAGAAGTGTAGTTTACAGATACTTTGACTAGACCAAAAGAACGTAATCATCAAGCGATTGGGTTGTGTATGATATTATGGCCCACTTGCGAAACGTTACTGGATGCTGTATAATTAAGTCGATAGAGACTAAACGTTAACCAGGAAGCAACAATGAAGTACCTTGTATATTAAATGACCGTTTTTTCCTTCTCGATCTTCTACTGAAATACATTCTATGCCTGACCACCGTTATATACTACTTATATGGATATAAGTAACCCACACCACAGTACGATATTGATTAACATGCTTCATGCATACGAGCAAAACCAGCTATTTGAGAATATCAAGGACATCTAAGAAGCTTTATTGAAAAACCTTAGTGAAAATTTCTACACAAGCTTATTCATATCTCGGATAATAAATCCAAAGTTGAACTCCTCTTATTCAATTTCCATCTTCCTAATAACATTTTTATTTGAAATCTATTCTGTTGCAAAGTATGTCAACTTCGAACACAGAGCGGTGAACTCGACGGAGTGGTCGAGCTTGCCTATCGTGATGAACCAATCGGGCCATACTGATTGTAACAATCATTCATCATGGTCTTACCACGCCATGCAGATCCGTCGAAGAACGTTAAGACTGAAGGTAGTAAACCCAAAACCCGCAGGTGAAGTACTATTGACTCTATTGAGATGTGACGGCAGTAAGGTCTTTCCCTCAGATAACCAGCATAACAGCGATGCTGTCTTCTCATAAAGGAAGGATTAGTTTAGGAAAGGTGAACCATAAAAATGCACTCTTCACCTTGTCCCATGGATATCCGTCTCCAGCGGTAAGGTCTCAACAAGTACGGAGGTAACACTAAAATTACCCACACAAGTGTTATGTGTGACTGCACACAAGGAGTTGTCCTTTGGGCATTGCGGTCACGTTCTCAGGTCACTAAAACCAGCTCTAACCTAATTTTCTTTTCAGGTACTTCGCTCTTTAAAGCGGTGAACGGTCATTTTTCCATCGTTCTATGTTCCACACCTACTGAGTTTATGGTAATTAGGCCAATCAAAACATTATCTAATCTAACGTGACATGTGTATAGTATTTACTCTCGTTGATAGTTCTAACATTTATTTGTAATATTCGCATAATTGTTATGATGATTGGAAATTGGTGTTCTTTCTAAGTCTTAAATATCAAAGTATGTAAAATGTCAATAATTAATTTTTTGTTTATCTTATAGACAGGCATTATAGTCTTTTCTATTAAATCTACTTTATCAATCGGTATCCTATTCTGTTCATCATTTAAATCTAGTTAATTTTACTCTTCTCTTATATGTAATTCAGGACTATTCTGGTTTATTCTACTATGATATACTAGCTTAGTTGATTGATTTTTTTATACCCTGTTCCTTAAATAACCTTGTCGCTATTTCTCCCTTCAAAAATGTATTTCTTTGCAACTGACCCATATATTTATTTAAACTTGAGAAAAAAATTTCTTTTCTTTATATGATTGAAATCAGTTAGTTAATTGAATGAATTCGATAAGCAAATAATTAATTTAATTTGTTGTGGATGCGGAAGGATAGACCAATAATTATCATGTTAAGTCCAATAATGTCCTTGGACTTTAAATGGACATTTTCTATTGGTCGATATCTGTTCACTTGTTGAATATTGTACAAAATGTTGTTTTCTATTTTTATGGTACGATGTGGTCTGCTTGTTTAGTATATAAATAGAGTATGTCTGAAATACAATGATTCATATATCAGAGGCTGTGACTTTCGTTCTGGACTCAACTGGCTGGGATAGACAGGGAAGCAGGGCCAATCGGGATACTAGGTCGTTCATTACGTGTCACTGCGATCGATCGATATAAACGCTGCTTATCAAAACCTGCAGTGCACCCTCCCGTTACAACATAATTGTAATAGAATAATTAGTGGTTTACACTAAGTAATTCATTCAATTAATATTGTGGAAAAAAATCAATAAATAGTCAAAACTGTTCTTCTGTGTACAGATCAATATTATGATAATATTAGCATAACCAATCTAATCATATATGAGTTATAACTACATTTAGTTCTTTATGCAACTGTTTAAATTAAACAAAGTTATTTTGTATATATTTACATACAAATCAATTTGGTTTCCTTTATTGCTCAGTCAAAATATAGTTGCATAAATATGAATTAATTGGTTATTTTTTTTTGAAGATGTTATACATTTAGATCATTATTTTTATCACAAGTTAATGATAGCTGACGAAACATAAAGGTCATTGGACTAGTAATCATATTGCAACATTATCAGTAGAATGTGATCAATATATGATATCAATTATTTAATATTTGCTAGGCAGATATAGAAATTTATATCTTACGTATCGATCTCTATATCAATCTAAGTTCACTATTGATAAATTTGACTGTGATATTTAGTGATACATGTTCGAGTACCTTGAGGGATATCAGTTTCTGTAAGATTACAAATTTGACTTTTCTAAATAATTTCATTCACCGCAATCTTTAGATCTAAGGCTCTTCTAGCGATTACCTCTCATCACTTGAAAAATAAGTCATCATTATTATATTTCATAATTTCGGCTTTATACCTATCAACAAAATTGAATTATCTGATCATTGGTGTTGAAGGATTAGCTGTTAGTAGTAGTACTTTGTAACGGTTTAAACTTTAATATAATGAATCCTAAAATTGATGAATAAAAATTCGGAACTAACTAAAAGTGAAGTAATTTCTTAATAGAAAGATTTGTTCATTTGAAATTAGACCACTAACCATCGTTCGATAATTTTATAACATACAATTGAACATATTTGGTATGTGATAGCGGCGAAATTCAGGACTCTTGTTTATTACTACTTAGGATTTATTATCTTAATATGTTTGTATCCCGATATTTTTATTTATATTGAGACCTTAATTACAGCTGACAGATCTTATGAACATGAGTGGTGCCTTGGTATAAATTAATACGGATACCTTATATAACGAAAATCAAACCAATAAATAATCTACTGAACACGTTTCAGATCAATTTTCTTTTAATTTTTATAATATCCGACAGATGCATGGTCCTTAAGAGAACAACAATTTTTAGATAATATATTGCTAATTAATTGTCAAAAACTGTTCAGTGAATTTGAAGAAGGTATTTATTTAATTTTTTTGATCATTTTATTAGACAGATTCTGACTACAGAATTAATTAATTGATTTTTATGAATATGAGTCCTCAGTAATACAATAATCTTTTTCAAATTTGTCAACAAGGACAAAACCAATATGATGAGCTTTCTAATTACA